TGTTTAATTCCACTACTCGCTTTGTTTAATTCCACTTCGCAGTGCCGTATGACAGAATTTTGCTTGCTCAAATGTTAGTGTAACTGCAGCCTTACTGTGCAGACCTGTAATATGCAAGACAATATTTATATCTGCTGATTTCTTAATTTTGTTATACTTTTTCTGTTATTTATTTGTTTCGTGCCAAAACAATAAAATAAAATTGTCTGAAAAATTTCATGCCTTCTATTTTTAAATAACAGCTAAGAATACTGATTAATTTTAGTAACACTACAATAACTATATATGACATACTATTAATGTGTATGCAGTATAATGCTGTGATTTGTAACACTACAATACAGTAATTAACTGTACATAGTTTCCAGTTAGTTACCACTGCTGCTCTATTACAGTAATTAACTGGCAACACTGTTGCCAGCTACTCCCTGTATCGGTTCAGTTACAGTAAATAACTGGCAACACTGTTGCCAGCCACTCACTGTAATGGTTCAGTTACAGTAAATAACTGGCAACACTGTTGCCAGCCACTCACTGTAATGGTTCAGTTACAGTAAATAACTGGCAACACTGTTGCCAGCCACTCACTGTAATGGTTCAGTTACAGTAATTAACTGGCAACACTGTTGCCAGTTACTTACTCTAACCAAACTTTTACAGTGAGTGGCTGGCAACAGTGTTGCCAGTGTTCTACTGTAAAAAACCCCGGTAAGGTCTAACAGTGTATATATAACATTTTGAAATATTTATAATCATCAGCCATATATTTATATCGGCTATCGGCCTCCTAGTCTAAAGAATTATCGGTTATCGGTATCATCCAAAAAATCCATATTGGTGCATCCCTAATTGTGACGGTTGGGTTTAGTGTTGGGGAAGGAGTAGACAGTAATAACTGTGATATTTGGGTTTAGGGTTGGGGAAGGTGTAGACCTTAATAACTGTAATAGTTGAGTTTAGGTGTGGAGTAGTTATAAAAGTTAAAAACTGTGACAGTTGGGTTTAGTGTTTGGGAAGGTGTAGACGCTAATAACTGTAATAGTTGGGTTTAGGTGTGGAGTAGGTATAGACGTCAATAACTGACGGTTGGGTATAGGTTTGGGAAAGGTGTAGATGTTAATATATGTGATGGTTGGGTTTAGGTCTGGAGTAGTTATAAAAGTTAATAACTGTGACGGTTGAGTTTAGTGTTGAGGAAAGTGTAGACGTAATAACTGTAATATTGGGTTTAGGTGTGGAGTAGTTATAAAAGTTAATAACTGTGACGGTTGGGTTTAGGGTTGGGAAAGGTGTAAACGTTAATAACTGTGATGGGTACTGTAATCTTGCTGACAACATAATTTTGACACATGGGACTAGATAACTTCGGGTTACACCTTTACTACAAATGATGCCCCTTCATGTTATGGCCCTGTCTGGAATCTTTATTTCTAAAAATAATACTGCTTGTGAACAACTTAATTTTGTGTCAAAAATTCAGAAAACTAAATTTATTTTAAATAATTGGCTGCAAAGAGATCTTACAATTTTTGGAAGAGTTTTACTATCCAAAGCTGAAGGCCTATCTAGACTTGTTTATCCTGCTCTTTCTATGCATGTTAGTGATGACATTTCCAAAAATATTAACAAATCCTTCTTAGATTTTATATGGAAAAAAAAACCACATAAATTAAAAAAGGACGTTATATCAGGTAAAAGAGTAGAAGGTGGATTAGAGATGATAGATTTTTTTGATATTAACAATACATTTAAACTTAATTGGTTAAGAAATTGTCTAAAATATGAAAACTCGATGTGGTTCTTTATACCTCAATTTATCTTTCAGAAGCTTGGAGGGCTGTCTTTTCTCCTGAGATGCAATTATCTTCCTGGAAAATTGCCACTCAAATTGTCCAAATTTCACCAGCAAGTATTATTCGCTTGGAAAATTTGTTTTCAGCATAACTTTTCTCCTCATAAAGTTCTTTTATGGAATAATTATCTCATTACCTCTAGAAACAAATCTTTATTTTTACATAAATGGTATCAAAGAAACATATATTTTGTAACAGATTTGTTCTATGATAATGGAAACATACTATCTTATGAAGATTTTATGAGGATACATAACTTTCCAATTCCTTTTAAAGAATTTCACCAAGTGGTTAAGGCTATTCCAGCTGGCTTAATACAACTAATTAATAATCACCTTTCTTATGGAGGCGTTAAAAAGATACTCCCAGAATTAAAAATTGACAGTTTTGACATACTTTCTCCATCATATAATAATAAAAAAATTAGACAAGTCTTTCAATCTAAACACAAAATATCCCCTAGAGGGAAATATTATTGGAATGAAAAAATTATTAATATTAATTGGAAAGCTACCTGGTCAATACCCTTTAAATTTTGCCTTTTAAATAAGGTTAAAGAAGTGCACTTTAAAATACTTCACAAAATGTATCCTTGCAAAGCAACTTTATCTAAATTCATGGATATTGAGAGTACTTGCACATTTTGTAATATACATGAGGAAGACTTATCTCATCTTTTCTATAACTGTGATGCCTCTCGTAAATTTTGGAATGATGTTAGTGACGTGTTATTTGGGCAAAGAAATGTTAATTACAGGCTATCTTTAAAGGATGTGATTTGCACTTTTTCACACACAAAAAGAACATTCGAGTATGTTGTTAACTTCTACATTTTACAAGGTAAATATTTTATACATAAACAGAAATTTGCGAAATGTGTACCAAAATGTAATATTTTTTTATTAGAAATGGAAAATCTGAAAAAGTCTCTAATGCAAATTAAAAACAAAAAGAATGATTTAATGTTAGTTTTCATGAAGGAATTTTTTTCTAGTTCTGATCCCCCGCTGTAGTCGATGAGTGTATCCTAAGTTATTATTTTAGTTTATATGTATAGAAGTATTTTGTAATATTTGTTTTTTTTTTTATCTTATTTATTAATTTTTTATTTATTTTTTTTCCTTTGCAATTTTGTATACTTTTTTTTTCTCCTGTTATATATTACTTCATTAATTTTGATTCTTGTAATTATAGTAATGTTTATGGATATAATATATATCTCAATTGTTGTATTTTTACTTTATGTAATGTTTCAAAACTATAAAAAAAAAAAAAAAAAAAAGTTATGGCCCTGTCTAGCAGTCTGCAAACAGACCCTACTTGATTGTGGAGGCCATTTGAGTATGAACTTCTTTTCATGTTCAAGAAACCAAATGATCAGATTTTTGTGGCATGCATGTTATCCTGCTGGAAGTACCCATCGGAAGATGAGTGCATTGTGGTGATAAAGGAATGGATGTGGTCCGCAACAATACTGTACGATAAATTGTGGCATTTACTGTAAATGAACGGCAGTTGGTACTTAAGGGGCAGACAGTGTGCTGATAAAATCTCCCCCACACCACAAGCAGTCTAAATCAATCATTGACAAATCCATGCTTTCCTGTTGTCTACATCAAATGCTGAATGTCGGAGCAGAAATTGAAACTCATCAAACCAATTTTCCAATCTTCCATTGTTTAGTTACTCTGCTGATGTGCATTACCCTAGCCTTATCTGACAGAGTTGTCACCACTATGCTCCATTTTTTTGTACTGTTGTAGTTCAAGGTCTGACATGTTGTCTTATGTTAAAAGATGCTCTTCTGCAGACCCCGACTACAACTAGTGGTTATTTGAGTTACTGTTGCATTTATACAAGGCATTTTACATACAGAACTGCTGCTCATTGAATGTTCTAATTTAGAGATGGTTGTCTCTAAAACAATGTTATTTTAGTAAATGAATATCAAAACCATTGGTCAAAAAACATTTTTATTAATTAAAATAAAATGTAAAAATTCACAATAAATAAAAAACAAAAAAAAAAGGAAACTAACAACAGTCTCCGAAAAACTGAAATAAAATAACAATTACACATAACCATTTCCTAATGCAATCTACAGTAACATACTGCTCTGTAACTCAGTTAAAGCAAAATTACAGAATTTGCATTTACAGCACAATTTATCTTGCTGTATATGTATTAACAGAATTGTATGTATATTTTTACTGTAAAGTATACAGCAATTTTTACAATAGAATTATAAATTACAGTAACAAAACTGTCCTACATTAAAAAAAGTTTATATTACAGTTAAATACTGTGTAATTTACAGTAAATAGGATAATCATTTTCAGATTTAATAATTACTCGTTCTGTGGTGGTAAATCTTACCTGCTGCTGTATAGAAAAACACCTGTCGATGCGCTTTTAATGCAAACAAATCAGCCAAGATCATATAAAACATCTAAACCACCTTTTCTTCATTTGTGAAAAAGTCAATTTAACTACCAAATGGTGTTTAATATGAAGAATATTGTCTGAATTGCTCAGACATTGATCATTTTTACTTTCGTGTTTCAGCTGTGTGGTTTTCTGAGTGTGGGACTGTTCAAACTATAATTATGTTTTTTTGCTAAGAGGTTTGCAGAAAAGTTGGTAAACTGAACACTAAACTTTGCTCTGGTCTAAACTAGATGTGTTCTGTTAACTTTGCTCGACTAGATTTACTAAAGTGAAATATATAAAAAACTAAATAGAAATGTGTTCAAAATAATTATCTAAAACAAAACCAGTAATGAAACGAAACTGAACTGAAATTTACAGCAAATTTAAAAACAGTTTCAAAATAAAAATGAAAACTTTCAAAATGTCAAAGTACTGTATAATAACCTTGATGTGAAAATCCCAGTAGATCAGCAGTTCTGGTCTGTTTAGTACAACATACTATGCTTAAAGTCATTTAAATGACCTTTCTTCTCCATTCTGACATTCAGTTTAAACTCAGTGAAACAGATCATCATGACCACGTCTACATTCATAAATGCATAGAGCTGCACGTGATTGGCTGATCAGGTGTACCTAATAAAGGGTCAGATGAATGTTTTTAATAATGTGTAGTTATATGTGTGAATATGTAATTCTCTTTTTTTTAATCTTTTGCAGGCAAGCCAGTTCAGTATTATTCATACCATTATTAATGTCGCCTCCGTTCTTACTTTAATGGCTGTGGTAAGTATGTGTCAGATCTTGATGATAAAAACAATATTTGACATTTGGTAATGTATTACACTATAACATGTGATAAGTTACTTCACTTTTAAAAAGTGAGTTAACATGTTGCCTTAAAAGCAACTATTTGATTTTACTCAGAGTGCCCATTAACTTAACTTTTAGAATTATCCACACATTTTGTTTACTTAATAATTATAGGCAACAATACTCTCTTTTTAAAAAATAAGTAAAGTCAACTTATCGCTTTTTACAGAGCAGCTAGGCCCATTGTAATGTTTTTTTATTTTTTATTTTGCGAAAATAAATATACAATCACAGTACATTAGAATATACAATCACAGTACATTATAAAAAAAAAAGTTTTTTTGAAAAAAGAAATCAAACAGAAGGGGTATATACATCACGCGTTAAAGTCAAATTTCAAAAAGTCAAGTAAAATACAAATTTCAGTTGTTTTTAAAGTTTTTTTTGTAAAAGAGTTAGAAATAGTTTCAAAGTAATACTGTATTTTAGAAAGCAAAATATAATAAAAAAGTGTTTGGTTTGTACAGTTAAAGTCAGAATTATTAGCCCCCCAGTTTATTTTTTCCCCAATTTCTGTTTAATGGAGAGATTTTTTCAACACATTTCTAAATATACTAGTTTTAATAACTCACTTCTAATAACTGATTTATTTGATTTTTACCATGATGACAGTAAATAATATTTAACTAGATATGTTTGAGGACACTTACACTCTCAGAAAAAAAGGTACAGTAAAGGTACAATTTTGTTCCTAGAGGGAACAAAATATATAAGTGTACCTTTAAAGGTCCCATATTGGTCCTTAGGGTACAATTTTGTACTCAAATGGGCTATAAAGGTACAAATGTCCAGATTTAGGTTTGAAAGGTACATTTTTGTACCTTTTATAGCACATTTGGATACAAAATTGTACCGTAAAGGACCAATTTGGAACCTTTAAAGGTACAATTATATATTTTGTTTCCCTATAGGAACAAAATTGTACCCTCAGCTCATGATAAGATCAAGACACTATATAACACTAATTTAAATGCATTAATACTAAACATTAATACTAAAATACATAATTTATAAATATAATAAATAAATTGATTGAATTAAATATTTTTTATAATTAAAATTTTTTCATGTATTTAAATTTTAAAAATTCTCAAAATCGTTAATAATTTAATTTATAATTGAATGTAATTTTAATCATAAAAAACGTAAATACTGGTCTTTGCTTACTGTTTAAGTCCCTATAGTATATATGGGATGTAGAATAAGAACCATGCAGAGGGACAGCATCTTCATACAGGTGGTGATGTTGCTGTCTCTTTAAGAATTTGGCTTGTTGAGACGTTATAGTAGTGTTTGTTACTGAGGCAGCGGTCGGTAGAGTATGCTGGCTGTTTACACAGAACTTCGCACGCTTTTCAAAGAAAAGTCTATTTTGGAGTCCACATTTTTCAGGTAAGAATGTATTAAAGATATATTTTCATTCTCATTTTTACATGTGAAGCCGTGTTCTGTTGATTTTGTCTGACTCTCGGGTCTCGGCTTTCCCCCGCTTTAAGTGCTCCGGGCTGACTGGTGTACGTTGGCCTGCAGGATGGAGTTTGCTAAGATGTCTGCAGCTTATTAAAGAAGTTAATACAATATGATATCGAAGTCACCGAGGGACATAACGTTATAGAAGGTGAGTATTATATGATGTTAGTTTTCTCGGTGTAAAAGTTCCCTTTATCGCCTACGTTACGTATTCGCGCCTTATATCTTACTTAACTGCTTTATTAATAAGTGTTGCCACGGCGGAATATAATCGCAACCCAGATAGCAAAATACACTCGGTCCAGTTGCGGCTAGATTCTCGCCTGCCCGAGTCCGTCTGCTGTATCGTTACTCGGGCCAGATGCGGCGGCAGCAGCGAGCCGACGCTGCCGTAACCGTGCACCGGAATCGGGCCGTGAGTAATGTGCGGTGTGGCCCAGAGCTGGCGCGACTGAAGTCTTCATATACCTTGATATAAAACCTTTTGTTATTAATACTGGAATTTGTAATTATCGATAATGTTTTATATTTTGAGGCCATTTTCTAGCCACGGTGGACCGCGGAAATGTAATTTTAGACGGTTATATACATTGCCATTTTGTGAAGAAAAATCACAATTTTGTCACCGGCAAAGCAACTGATTATGTAAACGTGGCTAGTTACAAACGTGGCGTGTGTATGCTTGTACATATCTTCGTTTAAGTGTCTAAGTTACATTAATGTTGAGGAGTGTCCACAAACTTTCATGTCCAGAAATGTTGGTGCTTTACTATTGTTTAACGTTATACTTATGTTAATGTAGAATAACTATTAACATACCACGTTGTATAAATCGACGTTTTAAGTTATACTTTGTTCTTTAATGTAATAATTTGTCTTATTTGTTCTAAAACTGGTAACTTACCTTGAGCTATTTTACCTATTTTATTAATATCTCAAAATAAATAAATAGTTATTGCTTTATCTTATTGCTTTCCAGAAGTTTATGAAGTTTCTAATTGTATTTCAGGACAAGATTGAACAACATAATGCAGGCTAACAGCATCAGACCAATGAAGGCATGTCATATGAAAGCATGGCTCAGTTACAAGATGTAAGTATGTCTCATTATCTATACCATGGTTTTAATGGCTTACATACTATTTTAAATTTGTAGGTTTTTACTTACAAACAACAATAAATGTACACCCACGTGTTTAAAATTATTTTCTAGGTATTCATCGAAAGATGAGAGATCAACTGAAGAATTCTAAGGACCTGACTCTAAGGTACACTTTCTAAACTTTCTCCACTTGATTAATATTATTCAATTCTAGCTTTGTATGGATTCATTCATATTTGTTTGTATGCCACATCTTATGTTCCAGGAATTGATTTTACAGCAGCACTTCTCATGTTGCCAGCCTTGTTAAGCGAGACACTTTAACATTTCGTTGTGCTCAGGTGCGTATGTTGTTTTCTGTTTAGTATATGCTGTGATAAATGCATTTTATAATTCTTGATATTCTTTATATTAGGATGACGCAGTGGGTAGTGCTGTTACCTTACAGCAAAAAGGTCGCTGGTTCGAGCCTCGGCTGGGTCAGTTGGCATTTGTGTGAGGAGTTTGCATATTCTTCCAGTGTTCGTGAGGGTTTCCTCCAAGTGCTCCGGTTTCCCCACAAGTCCAAAGACATGCGCTATAGCTGAATTTGGTAAGCTTATTTGTCTGTAGTGTATAAATGTGTGTGTGAATAAGTGTGTCTGGATGTTTCATAATACTGGGTTGCAGCTAGAAGGGCATCTGCTGCATAAAACATGCTGGATAAGTTGGTGGTTCATTCCACTGTGGCGACCCCAGATTAATAAAGGGACTAAGCCAAAAAGAAATTGAATGAATGAATGAAATTTATATTAGTCTTTTAATCTGTGATACTTTTTTTTTTTTTAATCAGTGAATATTAATTATTTTACTTTCTATGCATGTGGATTTTTCTCTTCATCAGTGATAAAGTGACTGATATTAATGTCATTATTGCTTTGTCATTTACAGTGAACCATCTTCACCACATCCAACAGTTCAAGTACTGGGCGAGGCCATCGACTGGACAACTGTGTTAACAAGACGAGTCACGGCAGTCTTCAGAGTTGATGGGATTGCGATTGGCCGGGCTAATGATGTGGACGAATATACATTTTTGACATATCCATCTTATTAGAAGAACACCTTGATGTTTCTGCTGTGGAATGTTTTGAATGAACAGTGGACGGTGACGAGCCTCGATCTACTCCAGTTACCAGAGTGATCAACCTTGTTTTTTGTTTCTCTACATGCTCTTGGGATAATCACAATCATCAAGTTAATCCAGCACACTGCTGTCATTCATGCATAAAGCAAATTTTTAAATAACTTGTGGTCCTAATGACTATCAAAGAACATTTTCCAGATATGAATGCTTTACATGTCATGTTTATCAAAAGCATAAACACATATTGTGTTACAACAAATTACAACTCCACTTGAGGATGTCGAGGAGTAATCTACTGATGTTGAGGAAGAGGCTACTGATGTTTTTGGTTTTCTGCACTGTTGAAGCAATTTATAGAGAAAGTTTGCCTTCATTCTGAAATTCAGAGAAAATTTTGATGACAAATTATTTATTATGACTGAGTATTCTGACTAAAGACAAATACTTTGGACTTTATAAAGTGAAGTACTTGATGTAGCCTGTGTAATGTGTTTATAAATCTTAAACAGTATTCTTGTGGTCTTTGTATTAAGGGTAGATTATATACTGTACAGTGAGTGAACAATTTTTATTTGTTATCTAAATTGTTCTTTTTACTGTTTTACATGTCTGCTTTATACTTACTGTGTAATTTTATTTCTTGACACATTCAGTTGTGAGTTGTAATGAAATATTTTCTACATTAATAAATAAAAATGGACATCTGCGAACCGAAATGTTTTATTTATTTATTTGTGCATGCAGTCACCAATGGATCAAAATGCCTGGGTCAGTACCCTGAAAATGCTATATAATATAAAAAGGTACATTTTTGTACCTTCGGTGGGGGTACAAAATTGTCCCTTAAAGGGTACAAATGTAGAAGGTACAATTTTGTACCTTTAAATAGAGGTACAAATTTGTACCCTTAAGGGTACCACCCCAGTGACGGGCCATTTGTACCCTAAAAGGTACAATTTTGTACCTTTTTTTCTGAGAGTGTATATACAGCTTGCAGGGACATATAAAGGCTAGGTTAACTAGGCAGGTTAGGGTAATTAGGCGATATACTGTATAACAATGTTTTTTTCTGTAGACTATTGAAAAAAAATCGCTTGAAGGGAAAAAAATTGTCCTGAAAATGGTTCTTAAAGAATTAAAAACTGCTTTTATTCTAGCCAAAATAAAACAAATAGGACTTTCTCCAGAAGAAAAAATAGTATCAGACATACTGTGAAAATATCCTTGCTCTGTTAAACATTGTTTGGGAAATATAAAAGAAAATCACAGGGGGGTTAATAATTCTGACCTCAACTTTAAGTGTACATTTATGTATATATAATTTTGTTAATAGGAAGATTAAGGAAATACATTTTCTTTTCATGTAAAGCTTTTGTTTTATAATTAACAAAACCAAACAAAACATTTTCCCAAAGTAAAGGAAAAGTCTTTATCAGCATTCTCAATTACAAAAAAGGAAAAATCTTTCCAAAGAAAATTAAAATTTTTTCAACACAAAATTCCTTTTGTGCTGCTTACAAAAGGAACAATTAGTATCAATATCTTTTTTGTATTGTACTAAGAGACTATTCACTGGATATGTACAATAAAGAATTCTAAATTAATCTTCTTTTATCCTATTTGTAATTAAGCTATTTGGGATGAGCCATATTTTTTTCCAAACAATATCATGAAAAACATTTCATGAAAGTAACATTTGGAACTGATGGCCCCTTGTAACATACATTTACAAATGACTCATATCACATTAGCATTCTTTGAAATTAGTTTCATATGAGCAATTCTGTTGTTTCTTTTTTTTTCATTTGAATTTTTCTGGACTCCGTTTTAAAAGATTAATCAAATTTATTATTAAAAAAAGCATTTCTAATTTATTGAAATCATGAAATGTACACAATATAAAACAATTTATAAATACTGCAAAAAAATGATGCTTTTTTCTTGATTTAATTTGATTGATTTCATTACATATAAAACTGATGTAAAGCTAAGGGAATGGCATAATTATTCAACCCTTCTTCAGCATTGTTGTTGTTAAGTCATTAATTTGTATTGTAATGATTAAAACTGTATAAAGACATAATAGTTTCTTTAACATTGAATTAGTTTTTTTTATTTTTAAATTGTAAGAGATATAGACAAATCAAAATAAGCCTATATGCATAATTTAACATCAACGTGCATAATTCACAAAACCTAAATTACAAATTCCTAATGTTGTGGTTTGTATACATTTTCCAGGGTTCTTACATTTGTGATGTCATACTGTTGTTTATGGTGAAGAAGAAATATGCAAAGTTTGAGAGCTTGATAAAGTATGTAATAGCAGCATGTTTCTGTGAAATACTAACGATATAGTTTGAGAAATATATTATCACTCATTCTGCCACAACACAACATTAATCACCTTTATTTCATATCTCCTCAGGGCTGACAAAGAAATCGCATTGCAAAAGATGCCAGATCATTCGAAAAGAAAGTTCAGTTACTGAATTTGGTGATGCATGTGCTGCGAAATATAAGAAAAGCAGCGATTCTAAAACATTTGAAAGGAAATCTCATTCATACACTGAAAAAATGATGTCTGTTGCAAACAATTTATGTGTTGAATTTAATCCAACAAATTAAATTTAATAACGTTCAACATAATTTGTTTGTTTAAATTCAACCCAAATAAATAGTTTACAACCACTTAACTCTTCAACAAAATTGTAAATCCAAGAATCTCTATCTGTGAGCTTAAATCTACTAAATGTTATTTCTATAATATATTGCATATAAATAAAATCGCAGAGATTTGTGTTTTATGTTGAGCTATGTGTTATGTGCTACAGTATGTGATTTCAGTGTCTAATGGACTTGTAGAAACCTGAAATCCTAATATTTATCACTGAGAATGTCTTTTTAAATAGATGTATGTCGTTGTTAAAGGTGCTCCAAGATTTATAAGCCTAGCATGTATTGCAGAGTGAATTGTTGATATTTTCTATAAAATTTTATTGGTCTAGCATTGTAAACATAATCTGAAAATGAAAACATATTACAGAGTTTTTTAAATTACTGCATTACCTTCAAGGTCAGCTATACTACACATTTAAGTATATTGCATGTTAATATATGATTAAACTGACTCAATGTATTTGATTCATTTGTTTATTGTGATTTTGAATCGTGAAGCTGCCTTTTATTGTCATGACCAATTAACCATTATACATTTTTTAAACATATATACACATATTTAAAAATAGTTAGCTGTTGTAGCTACACAAAGTTACCAGAAGAGGTCACAGGAACTCACAAAACACTCAAAATTGCGATTACAAATTAGGTCAATATCATTTTTAAAGCTGGAGTGTGACATTGGACTTCTGTACATGATAAACATACTTTTACAAAATGCCAACATTTAATAGCCATATAATGAGAGTATTTGCATCATCCTTTCTAAGTGTGACACTAACTGATCACAAATAAAACACACCTTTTGTTCTCTCTGGGTCATTATCACAATAAAGTGCCTATGATGTCCCACAAGATAGAATCAGTCCTATATGAACATAATGCACAATAATGAAATGCTGATGTTTTAGTATAATTGGTTAAACCTTTACACACATGCAGGTAGAATTATGTGTTTTGAAATATGCTTTTGTAAAATTTTGCCATATTCTTTCATTGGATGTGATTTTGCCATGTCCTACACACTGCTCAGCCAGTCTAAAAAGTAGATAAATTAGATCAAATTAAAAAGATTTTAAAATATTATTTTGTCTTTAACAAGTTTTTTGACAAAATAAGTCATTTTGATCTCTATTATTTTGTTTTTATAATATCATTAATCATTTTGCACGTGTCCTTGAGTTTGATCCACCACATTTACCACATCATGACCCTCTCATGACAAATTTAAAATCCCTTTAAGAAACCCTCTGATGGACTCATTGGCATCCCCATTACCATTTTGCCTTTCTTCAGAGGAGGTAAAAACATCTGCTGTGTTTTCCTCATATTGTGTTTGAAACTGAATGTTGTCAAGCTTAAAGTGACCTCCCTGTCATAGTGAAATATTAATTACTTTTTTGAAAATCAGAAATCATAAATATAGCTTTTAAACTGTGCACAAAGAGCTTAAATAGGGAAACACTATACATGTTGAATAAATACTATCTTTAGCCAAAAATGTCCTCCCTCTCAATGACCACCCTGTCACAAATCCTTCCTTGACAGGGTGAACATATGCATTGCTAATAACACTGTATTTATTTATTTATTTATTTATTTATTTAATATTTGATTGTTAATGAGTTCATGTTTTTATGTTACAACACTTATACACAGACATACTACAATATAAACCTTTTATATCTGTCTCAGTGGATATAAAGGATATCCTTTTAAGTCCATATAATGGAGCTCGTTGGCTGTTTGAAATAAAAATACAGCATATTTTGTACATTTATGTGAACATCTGTAATTTATTTGCCTTCTGAAAAAAACAAAACAGTATTAAGGTGTTTAACTTGAGTTGCTTCCAGCATTTCCCTCACTCCTCCAATACAATGTACAATGTAAAGATTTGCACTCCCCATTAATTTGCATATTGATAAAACCTAGTTGAATACAGAATAGGTGGCATGGTGGCTCAGTGGTTTGCAGTAGTTAGTGAAAACAAGTTGAATTCTTAAAAACTTTTGCAACCTTTTTATATGAACCCTTTAATATTTCTTGTTGTGCCTGTTGTTTTTCAAATGTTCCTCCATATTTAGTTCACTAAATAAAGCCTTTGTCCACCCTGTCACGCCAATGTCCACTCTGTCATATTGTTTTTTATGAAAATAAACAAATTAATTATAATCTCAGCAAAACAGCTTGTGTGATTCCTTAATTAACCAGTAAGGGCCAGATAATATTGTTGGAAACTTTGACAAAATATTTTAGATATTGGATTTTATTTTGAAAAGAATGTGCAACGATTGCATATTTTATAGGGAAATAAATGTTTTGTCAATTAGTTCATTAACATAAATAGACTATTTTCATAATCTACAAAGTTTGGTTGGTAAAAGGACACATTATCTTACTGAAAATATGCATTTTATAATCACACTGCAATGAAAACATACTTTGAATTTGCCCGTGACAGGGTTGACATAATTTGAGTTTTGTTTACTCTTTTTCTGCTTGCAGATTATTTATAAAAAGTGCAGGACATTCATTTCTTAAGGTCTAAGTAATACAACATAAAAAATAAAAAATCTCAAACTTTGTTTTGAAAATTCTTGTCTCAATGGCACTTTATAGTGATAATGACCCCTCTATAGAATATACATGTTCATAATACATACTACATTGTCTCTTTATCTTTCTTTTTTTTAAATAAAGGTCATTATTTCTACAGAATATTCTGAATATTCTGCAGAATTCATGAATACAAATACACCACATTCACTAAATGGCGATTCATTCATTGACTCATTGCAGTGAAGAGTTTGACAAAAGACTTCCAACTGTCCTCAGTGAACTCGTGTTTCCTTTGACGATGGTATCATGGCACACTTTCCCACAAAGCCAATTAGAGCTGTGTCACACAAATGCCCCGAGGATAACTGAGCTCCAACGCAAGTGCCAAATCTGTCAAGATTCTGTGGGTGGTAATCCATGTAAAAATAAAGTGTTTTTCTGCACATGGTAGACACTTTAAACCCCTTTGACAAGATTATTATTGAGCCCACAAATACACTAATGACAGGTTTACCGAACACTGGGAGTGAATGATGAAATGAGGCAGTGTTTAGTTGTAAACCCTGTCGAATTGGTTTTTATGTTTCATTCATTCATTCATTCATTTTCTTGTCGGCTTAGTCCTTTTATTAATCCGGGGTCGCCACAGCGGAATGAACCGCCAACTTATCCAGCAAGTTTTCACGTAGCAGATGCCCTTTCAGCCGCAACCCATCTCTGGGAAATATTCACACACACACTCATAGACTACGGACAATTTGGCCTACCCAATTCACCTGTACCGCATGTCTTTGGACTGTGGGGAAAACCGGAGCACCGGAAGGAAACCCATGTGAAGGCAGGGAGAACATGCAAACTCCACACAGAAACGCCAACAGAGCCAGGTAGCAGCATAATATTAATTTTACTGAATATTTTATTAAAGTAATTTATTCACTTATGGCCACAACTGCACGGTATAAGCGGAAGTCCCCTCAGTCCTAATTAAATTAAACTCGACCGGAAGTTACGGTTGTATTTTTCTTTTCAGGATTGTAAGTAGCCCTATTTGAGGAAACATTTAGCAATTTACCTGAGTTTCTCTTCATTCTGAGAGGTCTCCAAATGTTTACATCTCTCTGGCGAGTTGTTTAGTAATCTTACAATATATTGTTTATATCCATTTGCTTTTAATTTAATTTTACTTCAGTTCACGTAGCCTAGCTAGGATCATAACGTTGAAGGTTGTCTCAGGTTTGTGACTTCTTTTAGGTGCCTCAAAGTATTTCTCTTAAGAGCAGTCAAATGTCCTCAGTTATTTGTTTTTAAATTACAAGTGTAAACCAGTACAAACAAAATAGTAGTTTTATTAACCCTGTTAAATTTTGACAACAAAATGAGGATTAAAAATATTGACTGGAAAAATAATAATAATTTTTATGTCTGGTAGTGCCACTGAAAATATACCGTTACACATACAAACCTTGCTGATTGAAGTAGAAGAAAAAACGCACACATTTTAAAGGAACACTCAATATTCTTTTTGAAATATACTCATTTTACAAGTCACTTTTTTGAGTTTGACCATATATTTTTTTTATCTATTCAGCTGATCTGTAGGTCTGGCGGGAGCACTTCTAACTTAGCTTAGCATAAATCATGATGTTTTTTGGCCAATATTACTGGTTTAATCAAATTCTATGCCAAGCTAAAAGTGCTCCTGCCAAACCGGGGCCCAGTTTTTCCAAAAAATTTATCTGGATCAAACTGGTCACATGTGGAAATTCCTTGTTATGCTATTCAAGATGAACTCATCTTTTATGACAGTTTTTTTTAAAGGAATATTGGCTTGGATCACTGTAATACACCAATAACAAATTTTAGGATTACTAAATCCTGTTTACCAGAGCCTTAAATGGAACCAACAGTGTAGCCTACTGGCTAAGCAAAGAACAACAGGTAGGCAAAATACCAGTGGCCACAAACAGCCAGCTACATATTTTTGTGAGTTTGGATATGCACACGAAACAATCAAATATTTATTATTAAATATTTATGAATATTATTTATTAAAGGCTGACGCAGTAGCGCAGTAGGTAGTGCTGTCGCCTCACAGCAAGAAGGTTGCCGTTTCTGTGTGGAGTTTGCGTGTTCTCCCTGCGTTCGCGTGGGTGCTCAGGTTTCCCCCACAGTCCAAAGACATGTGGTACAGGTGAATTGGGTAGGCTAAATTGTCTGTAGTGTGAATGTGTGTGTGGATGTTTCCCAGAGATGGGTTACGGCTGGAACGGCATCCGCTATGTAGAAATGTGCTGGATAAGTTGGCTGTTCATTCCGCTGTGACGACCCTGGATTAATAAAGGGATAAGCCGACAAAAAAATGATTGATGAATGAATTATTTATACTGATAAAGATTGACGCAGCTTCTCCTATCACAGCAAATTCCGTTTTTACTTTTGACATTTGCCACCAGTTAATCAGGAAGAGACGATTTTGTTCTTTTTGACTGGTTGGATGGAAACGCTGCTTTGTTCACATGTCTTTTATGCGATTTTCCAGTTTTGCGCATACATTTAATTTGCATCTTTGGATGGAAACATAGCTATAGATTGTTTTAATGGTAAGAAACAAAAACAGTGAAATCAACAAACATTCAACATTTTTTTGTTACTACATTAATACAGTACTGCTTTGATATTGTTTTGTTGTTTACCATCTCAGTAGATGCGGCTTCAAATATTAAAGAATTTTTATACCATCAGTAACCATTAAGTTTGTGATCATTCTCTGATCTGATAAGTTTGTGATCATTGGTCTGATCTTAATTCAAAATCCCTCTGTCACTTTTGACTAACCCATTTCCAAGATTTGATCCAATCTGTGATGCAAAATCCTACTGGATTACTTTTGAAAAACCAGGCCCTGGAGATCGGATGAATGAATTAAAAAAACACGGTAAAACTCAAATGCAAAGCAGAAACAAGACAAGCACTGAGGACCAGAATTAAAGTAATGTCGAGGGAGCAGTACGAGTTGTAGGAGCAGGAACATATCAACCTGTAAACATTTTTTTTATATTTTTAAACGTGCAAAATAAACAAATTATGTATGTGACAAAAAAGCCTGTAAGTTTACAGTTTACAACATACTTAGTCAATTAAACTGCACAACCCAAAAGAAGCAATGCTAATCAAAAGGATAAGAGTTGGCTCTTCATAGAACAAACATAATTGCTTTTATTTGATTTGACATTTTTGCATTTACAAGGAAAAAGCTTGGTTATGGATGTGCCATCTCTTTGTTATGGATGTGAAATTGCCACTTGTGTGACTTTAGTAAATCAAATAGAATTGTATAAAAACGCTGACAGAGACATTTTTTGTAAAATACAAGCCAACACACAAAAAAAAAGCAGAAACGGTTTTGCTATTTGGCGAAAATGTAATTTTTTTTCATGGCAAGGTTGACATTTGCATTTGATTTCATGCTTACTTTAAACACTACTCTGTTAAAGAAACTGCTGCACAAGCAGACAAAAAGAGACCCGACACACTTTTGCAAATGCAAGTCAAACTTTATTTTGGTTAGAGGGGAATGTTTGTGCAACACGTTCCTGAAAAAAAGTGTATCTGGAATGACAGTTTTCGGTTACACAAAACAGGTGCGCACTGCTACCATTCAAGTGACATTTTGTTCTTTGGTGGAACAAGATGAGACACACTCAACTCCTGCTAACACACACTCCTGTAGTCCAAAACTGCCATTGTGTTGGTTTTGGGAAAGGGGTGGTGAGAAGGGGGGTGGCTGGTTATTGGGGATGTTGTGATGGGGGGCAGGAGTGCATGTGCTCCAAAAGACAAAGAACTTTCCAGAGCATTCCTTCGAATGTTTCAAGGACACTAGGGAGTAGCAGCGTAGCTCTCGCCACCTAAACTAGTGATTCAGCAGCAACTATTCACATCCAAACAGATCTTGCACCTGCAGCAGCACACAATCTTCTTTTTTCTGAACGATAATCAGTAGTTTTTTCTTTTTTCTTTTAAGTAAGCTCGGTCCCCTGTTCATGAGCAGTGCACTACATCTATGGAATGTGCACTAGCGCCGGTCCATTTTCCAATCCCGACGGTCACATACACACAGTCCACATCAGCCAAGAGGAGGCACTTCACATAGAGATAGTAACTATTAAAAGAGTAACCTGACTTGTACTCTTGAGCTGTAACAAGGCATGAAATGAGGATCGAAAGAAATACAAGGAGTCTATATGTTCAAGCTTTACAATGACATGGTCGACAGGCAAATGGAATAACTTAGTGTCTGCTGATACTCAACATATTAACAATATTGCATTGCAAAAAAAAGGCATAATATAAATTAGATCTTAACTCTATGCTCACAACATTTAGAAGAAATAACTTTTTTGTAGTTGGGATAAAATAGCAGCTTCATGAGTAACACGCTTCAGCTTAAACTAGGCCTGCTGTTGTGAAAAACAACACTAGACGCAAAGCGTTCAGTCAAGCTTGTGTATCCAACGCGTTCACCCATGACAGGAAACAGATTTAGGACTTAACAGATTTTGCTGCAATGGTAGACAGAGCAAATAAAGAGTCTAACATGGGAAACATAACATGACGTGGTGTGAACTGTTACAGCCCAGTACTACACATACATTGCTAAATACAAAAGAAACTCTTTCTCTCGGGAGTTCGCTCTCCCGTGATTTACGGTTCCACGAAAACAAATTTAGCTAAATATCATTAATTTATAATCTACACCATGCCTATTGTCAAGGACAGTTCAAGGATCAAATATTTAAGGCTTGTGAGGGGGCAAACAGGGAGGTTATGATACTGGGTGTCTCACCCATTCTCAACTGCAGTTGCTCCACTCGTTACACCAAAGTCTGACAATACCCATGCTCCACTGCCAGATGGCCTGCCCTGATAAAGGTGGAGACACTCGGCCGACAAGTCAAAGGAGAATATGAGAAGAGGCACAGGTAGACCTGAGAAAGAGAGAGACTCTCCATGGGAGTTGAACCGTGGAGCTCGACATGGGTCAGTTATCAAATCATAAGCTGAAATGGTGACTTTCGTTTGGGTTGTTTCTTAGACGGTCACCGGCGGTGCATTTCAGCTATTTTAGAGAAGACCGACATGACACATCAAGTGCCTAAGGTGGGTGGAAAATGCAGTGGCAGGCTTCAGCTGACACAACAGCATGTGACGGAGATGGAAGTGATCCCGCCAGGGAAGAACGGTATGGTGTTAATGATGGAGCAAAAGCAGGGAGCCAATCCGCCCAGACACACAGCATTCACACCAGCTAATCACACCTCTCAGTTACAGTAGCACAGCAGTGAAGCCACAGGCTAGCCTGTGGCGCTCATTTATATTGCGCTTACATCAACACACTTCCGTCATCCAATTACGGTCAAGGACGTTTTTCCTTTAAAGACAAACTAACATATGATCGGATGATGAAACTCTTCCCAAAGGAAGCTTTGGGTTGGCCGCTAAACATCAGTCCACTGTAAGACCTGTAGTGAGTCAAAGCCTGCCATTCCCATCTCTTTCCAATGTAATTCAAGTAGTAACAATTAAGTTGAAAGACAAAATAAACCCCTAAGCTATGCAATTAGGGCACAGCACAAGTCCCGAAGCAATTTCAGTCTACAGCAGTCTCCATTTAAACTGAAATCTAATAGGATACTCAGGAAAAAAAAATAGAGGATAAAAAGGGTAGCGCATTAGCTGACACTTCAAGGGAAGGATTAACATTTTACACAATGTGGCTCGACTCAGCCCTAGTGTAACATTTCCATCTAAGACTTTAACCTGATTCATGTTCAACAGTCTGGAAAAGAAACAGTCTTGTCATATGTGCATATCCCAGTATCAGTTTGCACTTTCATTTCAATTCAGAATTAGTTACAAAAGCACAATATGTAAACATTGAGAGGAACAAAAATAAAAATCAACCTCTATACATTATACAAGCTGTTAGCTTAGATGGAAAAGCCAAATATTTCGGTATCATGGCACCCCTTAAATTTCCTCACGAGTTAGTACTTCAAATCTCAAGTAGGCCTACACTACAAATAAATGGCATTCACTGAGAATTGCTTCTCAGCTTTGTAAATGACAGACAGTTGCTAACCAAAAAGAAAAAGCTAATTAAATGTTACACGGAACATATTTTCCCCAACATATCTTACAGACCAGATAGGAATGGTAAAAATAGTGCTGATCTCACAAACAAAAGCTGTTATGGCTGTTTTCTGTAAAGTAAAAAAGAAATTAGAAATAAATTAAATAAATGCCTACAAATTTTCCAAACCTACTTGAGATATATAAACTACTAAAATTAAAATAATAAAAAGAATCAAAGTGGCACATGGCAGGGGGGTGTTTAGCTTTGTGATAGCCACGTAAATCATCGTACAGGAAACATTCAGTAGATCACTTTCAAGACTGAGGGAAAACAACAGGGAGGAGAGGATTTTTCCTTGCGCTCCGACTAACACTGAAAAGCGTGAATTAGCCATAGCTCATCTGTACCCTGGGTGGTGGATGTGCACATTTCTACTATCACCTGAATCTGTGGCCCTGTTGACTGGGGTTCGGTGCATCTTTGCCATTGTGCCAGGATTCTGCGCTCTGAAGCAGGGTGTCTGGAAGTCGCCACCCATGTACTCCATGTTCTGCATCAGGTTCGTCTGACTTGAAAGAGCAGCCCCAGTCCTGTACTGTGCTCCAGGGGTGCAGTCTAAGGAGGCCCCTGAGAGGCCACCGTGAAATGACCCCACCAGGTCTTGAGACCCTGAGCTGTCACTGTTTGGTGTGGGGAGGATGTTGCTCCATGGAGGCTGCATGTAGTGGCCGTTGCTGTAACTCACAGGCATCCCGTTAACCGGAGGAGATGGAGTTGGTTTATCGGTAGGTGGCTTCAAGTTGAATGGCTGCGCCATGCACACCTCCTGTGGGTAGCCCATGTTCTTTGTAAGGAACCCTGGTCCCATTAGGCCTTCTCGAGGGAGATTCTTACCCTGGTGAGCTGCTCCCTCTGGAAGGTGCTGAAGATGTCCCAACTGGTGTTGGCCCCAGGGGCCCTGCTGACGTTGTTGCTGGGGTAACTGTGGCTGGGACTGCTGCTGCTTCATCTCATTGTGGTAAAGGGGTATCCTGTTCATAGCAGCAATGTCAGGCAGTGGCAGAGCAGAGGCAGGACCGCCTTTGTCAGAATTTCCAAGAATGCAAGAAGATGGAGGACCCACAGTAGGATGTGGGCACACTCGAGAGCTCGCGTTGATTAGCTGGTTGCGGCTAATGGGACTGGGGTTGGCGATCTGTCCTTCACACACAGAGGTAGAGCCCATGCCAGCCCGAGCCTGGCAGAACTGATTAATCTGATTGACGATGCTGTTCAAGTCGCTGGGCCGGTTCTGGTGCAGGCTGGCAGCCATAGACAGCGGGATGGTTGAGGTAGACACAGTCACATTGGGAGGAGCATCGGCATCAGGCAGCTTTCGTGGCATCTGTAAGCCTGCCAAGGGTGGCTGCAAGACCCCAGATGCTGGAGGGCCAGCACAAGAGGCCTGTGGAATGGGTTGGGATTGAGAAAAGCCCTGGGAGTGCTGCAGGTTTACCGACTGTGCCATATCAGGCAAATGCCGTAGTCCTTGTGGAGCGGACAACTGCTGCTGCATGAGAGTCTGTTGGTGGTTTAGGGTGTGGTGTGGTACTGGCGGTTGGTGAGCCTGGCTCTGATGTAAAGCCTCCTGATGGGCCAGGCTCTGCTGTGGTTGTAAACTGCTCTTCTGCTGCAGGGATTGTGGATGGGCCTGCAAGGCCTGAGAGTGACCGAGACTCTTCTGGCCTAAAGGAGTCTGAAGATGTGGAACAGTGTGAGGAACATTTAAAGTGCTGGGATTGGCGTAAAGCCCACTGTGCGGGTTCATGATGAGCTTGGGGAGAAAACGGGCTCGGCCGCCTTCAATGTCCTTGAGGATCCCTTTGACAGGAACTTTGACTATGGCCAAGAGGCCCGTCCGGGTGTTGACCTGAGGTGGGTAGGGGCTGTAGCGCTGACTGGAGGTGTCGAGACCGTTGACAGTGCGGCGAATGTGTTTCCTCTGAGGTACTTTTACACTATTGGGGAAGATTTTTATAGTCAGTGGGTTATTGGCAACTTTCTTAGCATAGGCATCCAATTCTGCTGGGGTGGGATAGTGTGCTGATCTCATCCTCTGTGTAGTGTCCCCTGTGAGAAAGAGAAGGCCAAACATGAAGAATAATACAAAAAATGTGGCGCTCATATGATAGCACATTACTGCTTATCAGGGCTCCTGCGGAGTTAGAGCATCTGTTTCACTAACAAAAGGATATCTAGGTCAAACATGCATGTAGTTTAATCAGAACCAAGCTTATTTCAGTTAAAGGCTGCTTACATTTCTGAAGTCCAGTGTTCATCTGCGTGTGCGAGAGAAGCTGGAGGGAGGGGTTTGATACCGGCAGACAGGCCAGCATGTCACAATGAGACTAATGCAACATTGGACTCTTACTCCTCATCACACTGCAAAGGAAAGAATCACGTCAGGAACAAAAATGGATTCACATCCTTCGTCTCCTAAAATACATGTTGTAAAAAAAGAAACATCGGCTATTTTCTCCTCCGAGGGCATCATTATAGAGATCCAATTTTACGTGTAGATGTAGGTTTAATTGAACATACTGTGCAATGGGATTTAATGAGTGTAATAAATTATTACAGAGGAAATTTCTAGTTTAATTAGTGGTGCTTTGGTGCAACACAGCAGCAGAAGCAATAATCAAAACGTCTTAGATTAGAAGACTTGCAGAATGAAAATCAGCACACCATGAATATCCCAACAACCTAAGTAAGTAATATTGAGTGGAGCGTGCTGCTAGTCAACAAATGACATGATTTACAGCTGGCCACGAGAAAACCGGCAATCGCAGAAGTGTAGAAAGGCCCTACCCTTGCTAATTCACCTGAACATCCATCAAACGCTGAAGCTATAGATCTTTGTAATTGCCTCATTGTAGCCATTTATTTAAATATCATCCATTCAAGCATGACCTTTTTAAATAGCTCTCTGAAACAGCTGGTGTCAGGGCCCACGGTGCACACCCTGCAGTTTGAGTGTCAGGAGTGCGATGCAAACGCATTCTCCCGCTTGCCTGGCAGGTGCCCAGGGGCACGGCAGGGGATGCGGCAACACGACCACAGGCCACATGCTCCCAGCTGACTCCTCCAATCGGAGATGTGCAGGTGTCAAAAAGTGCAGTCGAGACAGAGCCTGACATGTTCTGAGCACCCAACCCCCAGCTATTTTCATCCGTGAGCTGCTTTTAATGTCACTCAGAATGAGGTGTTATCAGCTGAAATGGAGACTCACGGTGTCTAAAACATCCTGAATCACTGAAAGACCAGTGATGACCAATGTACGTCATGTTATATCTTGGCCTGTGGGATAAGGGGAGTTGTTTATTTAGCTGGTGCTCTCAAAAAAAACCTTTGAACGGAGTTCAAAATCTAAACAAACTCACAGTTCACAGCTTATACAAGCAAAAACTGTACAGCCAAGCACTTTACTTCAGCTGACACGAATTTACAGTCTTAATTAAAAACAACAGGAGCTTTGAAACAGCTGAGCTACACTGTAAAACAACAAAAATAATGTGCCAAACATAAAACATAGAGAACTGAAAAGTTTAAAGCACAATGTGTGAATGCTATAACCTCAACCCCATTATAAATATGCTAGCCAGCAAACTTTACTTAGCTGCAAGCTACACACATCACAATCATCTCAGACCAACACAGACACACTCACATGATTTAGGGTCACTGTAGCACACATCAACCCTGTAGATAACATGTGTCCAGTTGACCGAACGCCCAACTAACTAGCAACCCATCGAAAGGGCGATCAGAGAGAGATTTGAGCCTGTCCTGGCACCTCTGCCTCTACACTTGCTACTGCCACTAGCATATAGCCTGTGTCTTCTTTGTGCGAGCCACTGCCCGGCTTTCATCTTACAGCTTCTTAAAAACGCGTTCAAATGGTCAAACTGGAGATGTTGAAAACGAAACTTACTCTCTGGCTTCGGGATGAGACGTGCGATTGTTTAAAAGAGCATTTTTGCTGGGTTATTCGGCACCTGTGTTCTGCTTGTGTCGATAAAGCGCTTGTCTAGTCACTGCTGCCCAGTGCCCACTGCTGCAGCCTATATCCGCGCATGCGCAGTTCGCTTTCCTCGCTTGTCTTCCTCGCTGAGCTCAAGGAATCGCGAAGGGATCTTTGGCTCAACGCGCCATCTGCTGAGTGGGAATTACACAGTCTCCTAGTTCTACCGACGTCTTCATTTTTTGTGGAAAACAGTGATATATTTACTATTTATTAGCTGATTAAAAACGAGAGGAAGAACTTTTATAATGTCGCAAAATATTTTAATAAAATGCTGTTAAACTGGACATTATAGGACAAGTAAAATGTGTCAAGTTTTGGTCTGTTTTCACTATAATTAATGATTGTGGGTTTCAAACTAATTTTAATTGTATCCTTTGCTTGTTTGAAGATGCAGGAAATATTATTTGGTATGAACAATTAATAACATACCACAGTTTCCCAACTTTTAAAGAATATAACAAAGTGGTTAAAGCAATATCACCCAGTAGTTCAGTTTAACCCAAGGAGCTCAGTGGATATTCAATCTCCTTTGCGATTAGAAGGTGTTAGTCTGTTAGATAAGAGATGTAACAATAGGTTTGTGCAGCAAATTTTTCAATTTGAAAGGAAAATTTCTTCTAGAGAAAAGTTTTACTACACTGTAAAACCCAATAAAGTTGAGGAAACCGATTGCAACCAAACATTCATTCATTCATTTTCTTTTTGGCTTGGTCCCTTTATTAATCTGGGATCGCTATAGTCGAATGATCCGCCTGATTCCGCCAACTTATGCAGCATATGTTTTATGCAGCTGATGTCCTTCCAGCTGCAGCCCATCTCTGGTAAACATCCATACACACTCATTCACACTTATAAACAGACAATTTAGCCTATCCAAATATCTGTACCACATGTCTTTGGACTTGTGGGGGAAACCGGAGCACCCGAACGCAGAGAGAACTTGCAAACTCCACACAGAAACCCTAACTGACCCAGCCGAGGCTCGAACCTGCAACCAAACGTTTAAGTTCAAAAACTAATCCTAATGAGTACTGTGAACTTACCCCATTTGAGTAAATGAATCAATTTGAGCACAGTAAACCCAATACATAAAGAGAACTCAAACCAACTCAGTTCTGTAAAACCCAATAAGTTAAGGCAACTCAAACCATTTGAGCAAACCGATTGCTACAAAACGTTTGAATTAAACTAATCTTTATGAGTACTGTGAACTTACTCTATATAAGTTGAATTAATGACATCATTATGTATATATACTCAAGAAGTCGCTGGTTTGAGCCTCGGCTCAGTTGGCGTTTCTGTGTGGAGTTTGCATGTTCTCCCTGCGTTCACGTGGGTTTCTTCCAGATGCTCAGGTTTCCCCCACAGGCCAAAGACATGCGATACAGGTGAATTGCCTCTGATTAATAGGAACTAAGCCGAAAATAAAATTAATGAATTATTATTATGATTTTATTACTGTTATTTTAATTTTTTTTCCCTTTCTGTCTAATGATATGTTATTTGTATGTGAATGTGACTATATTTTTATGACAGTGTATATTATTGACCTTTATCTGATCTTTCTATGATCCCTTGGATTCTGTTCTGATGTTCTTGTATTGTCAGTTCAAGCTATAAACATGATTGGGGATCAAATTTAACCACATGAATAAATTACATTTAAAATACATTGTTAAATAATTATTTAAAAGTGTAAATATCCATTTAACTACAGTATACATAGTTTTTTTTTTAATAAATTGGTCTTAAACTGGGCCAGATATGTTGGTTTATAATGATGAAATGTAATGTTGGACTGCAATGAATTTGATATACCCTTTATGCATTTTGCTTAACGGCCCTGCTTTTTCTCGGAGCAATTTCAAAAAATATTAAAAGTGGGTCAAGACAGGTCAAACCTACGTGGCCCACATATACATTTTTAACATCTTGGCCAAATACTACATTTGACTTCTGGCCCAAGTCTTGTGTGCCGCCTTAAAGACGATGCCACCTCTTCGAAACCCGGGCCGTGTTTAGCCCACATGCTGTATGCAAGTGCCGGACGAATGACTGCTGTGCAGCTTTATGCCAAATCTGGGCCAGAATTCTTTGCTACCTGCGCACTGAAAACTGCATCACTGACACTTGAAATTCAGCTTTGGCAAACAACACAAACAACATTTGACAATATTTTCACATAGAAAACATTCATTTATTCATTTATTTTCCTTCGCTTAGTCCCTTTATTCATCAGGGGTTGCCACAAAGAAATGAACTGCCTACTTATCCAATGTGTTTAACACAGTGAATGGCTTTCCAGCTGCAACCCAGTACTGGGAAACATCCAAACACTCTCACATTCACACATACAGCCAGTTTAGTTTATTCAATTCACCTATAGCGCATGTCTTTAAGTTGTGGGGGAAAACCGGAGCCCCCAAAGTTTTTTTTTTTACGTCTGAAATGTGCTATTCTATTCTATTCTATTCTATTCTATTCTATTCTATTCTATTCTATTCTATTCTATTCTATTCTATTCTATTCTATTCTATTCTATTCTAAATAAAAGAACACAAGGTATATTTTACTCTTTTCTGCCTGTAAAATATATATTTTTTTACTCTTTTGTATTAAAATATATTAAATACTTTAAAATAAATATGCATTAATGTATATCTGCATAGGTTAAAACATGTCAACAATATAAATGTCATGCTTGTTTTTATTTTAATTTACCGATAAATCAGATTTTCCTCTTCTTTCAACAACAATAAGTAAAAAACTTGTTGTAAAAGTTCAATAAATGTCTTTTTCAGGCCACTAAAATTCAAAACGAACGTGAAAATGAGCACTGGATATATCCATAAATCTCATATTCCATTGGCGTGGCTACATGCAGCATTTACAGTAATCATGACAACACAGATCCCGTGACTCAAAACCTAGTAAGCTGCCTACCTAGCCAGCATTTTTCACCATCACAGGCGCATTGGAAAGCTCAAGTGTGCTGTCTATGTAGGGAACTTACTCGGGTTTACAACACAGCCATACAGTATCACGTACCGTCTTCCTTCCAGTGGTGGGCAGGGTCGCTTGTGTTGACAAACATTTATTCTCCCAACAGGGCGGGGATCTTTTCATTTTACGAGTCAAAAAGCTGTTAAATAAACGCCGTGATAAATATATAGGAATAAACACGAACGGATTGCTGATTGGTGTCAAATACAAGAATGGGTTGCTGCTTGACTGTTGGACCAAATGAAGCGCTCGTTGTGTCAGGTATCGTCACAAGGTTTTTACTATAGCACGTAATGTTAGGACTCTTGCTACTTTTATGCATTAATTCGTTAATAGATCATATAATTAAGTGTTTGATTTTGCATATAACGTTATTGTGAAATGTGTGGTTACGTTAAAAAACCTCATCCATACGTGTATTAGCTATAGCTAGCTAACGTTACTACGTTACTACGTTAGCTCATCTCTTCCGCATTGACACGAGATCCATTCATTCATTCATAACTGTAAAAACATTGTTTGTTTTCGTTTTTGATGCAAGTTATCACATTTATTGTTAACTCACTGGAAATGTAAACCTGCTTAACTGAAGTTTGGTATTTAGACGTTCTCGGTTGCTATGTGCCTCCAGTCACCATGTAATAGTAATTTAATTTAAATGTAACGTTAACTGCTATTCATTCACGTTTCTGTGATCTGAACTCAATTACTTTTGTGCATAATAATAGCAATATGCTATCTACAGTATATCTACTGAGTCCTTCAGAAAGACATTTGAGAAGTGACAACCTAATACTTTTACATGTATTTGCCATTAAAAATACCACATATACATTAAGAAAATATGGTAACACTTTACAATAACAGTACATGAATAATGATGTTTTAATATGTAAACTAAGCATTAGGTTATTATGAATTAATGATGGATTAAGGCAGGGGTTCCCAAACTTTTCAGCCCGCGACCCTCAAAATGAGATTGCCAGTTACTCGTGACCCCCAATATTCTCTGAGGTGGTGGTTATAAATACAGAAACCTTGTATGCAATGACGCACACACACCAATAGACCCAAGTCTATTCTTTGTTTTTTTTTATGTATGTCAGTGCTGTAAATGGGCTAGAAAATTTAACCTGGTGTTACAAAATCTGCTGCATCTGACAGTATTGCTGTGTCTTTAGTATATTGTAATTACCCGAGAAGTCGCAATCCAATAGAACTAGTAACTATAAGCTACTATAGTAACTATATAGTTTATAGCAACTATAAACGACTATTTTTTCTCATCAGTAAGTTATTGATAAAATACAGTAAGTCTTAAGGTTTAATAAAAATTTATTGATTTTTTGAAAATCACCAGGCGACCCCCCTTCATTGTCCCGCGACCCCTCGGGGGGTCCCGACCCCCACTTTGAGAACCTCTGGGTTAAGGTATGCACTAATCATGAATTAACTTTAACTACAACATGATTCACATGAGTTCATGTGTGAATGAAGGCTACCTTAATTACTTGTTAGTACATGATTGTTTGTTAATTAGTGTATTAATTACCACATTAGCTTATGCTTAATTTAACCATGATGAACTCATGATATGTTATTCTATAATTATGTTGTGACTTTACTTGGAGGGGCACATCATCATTAACCCATTCTTAACTACTCATGCAACTAGTGAGTTTACAGTGAATAACAATAGAAAAGTGTTCTGTCAACATCAACATGATCAGGAGTTCATGAGTAGTTAAGGATGAGTTAATAGTGATGTGCCCCTCCAAGTAAAGTCATGAAATAATTATACATTAACAGATCATGAGTTCATGTTGGTTACATTTAGCCTAAACTTAAATGTTAATTAATACATTAATTAACAACATGTACTAACAAGTAATTAAGGTAGTCGTTATTTACACATGAACTCATGTGACTCATGTTGTCAATTCATGATTAGTGCATACCTTAACTCATCATTAATTCATGATAAAGTAATGTTTAGTTTACATATCAATACATCGTTATTTATGTACTGTTATTGTAAAGTGTTACCGAAAATTTTGTGCTACAATAGCATTATCAAATGGTAATACCATGGTGTGTACATTACGTGTACAATTCTACCATGGTACTATATATAGTGCCACTATAAATTGTATGAAGTTATTGTATAAGTATATCATTAATCTATATAAGATGAATTTTCAGCTTCATTGCAGTCACATGATCCTTTAGAAATCACTCTTATATTAATAATTATTATTATGTTTATTACTATATTGTTATTATTGTTAATGGTAATAGTAATAAAAGCAATAATGACTGGAGTAATATCATTCATTCATTTTCTTTTCGATTTAGTCCCTTTATTAATCTGGGGTCACCACAGTGGAATGAACTGCCAACTTATCCAGCACATTTTTACATTACGTTTGGACCCAAATATTTTTCACTCTCTTGAAATTTTTGGACCTCAAATATTTTTCAATCTCTCAGTCACGGCCTAAAGTCACTGCGAAGTTGAACCCTAATAGAGTAGAATTGTATCATTAGCATGTGTTTTTAAGGCCCGTGACTGAGCGTTTCAAGAGAGTTTAAAATATTATTTAAGATTATTTTACTCGCCCCATTGGCAGATAATTTTGGTTTGTTTTAAAGAAAAATTCAGACTTCTCTCTTCTGAAGGTGAAAACAAAACAATATTTTTACTTACAGATATTTGGACTAAAAACGAGACAAAGCAAAGTAAGATTCTGTAAATGAATACGGTTATTCTCCCCAGAAAACTGTCAAACAGAGCTGTTCAAGCATCTTGTGAAACTGTATTGATAGCACAATATTTATTGCAGAAAAATAAAATATCGCAATGTCAAATTTTCCCAATATCATGCAGCCCTAGCATGCATGCATACATTATTTGACAAAATGTTTTTTCATAACACTGTACAAACAAGTCAACTATGCATGCATTTAAATCACTTTTTAAAAATATTCCATTTAACTTCTTATGCCATAAATCCCTCAAATGTTATTTTTAAAATGTATCCTTTTTAAATAAATTTTTAAAACTCTATTTTACATTCTTACTGTTTAATTTCTCAAACATTTTCACGGTCCCCCACTCTTACTATGCTGTTGCATTTTTTTCTAGGCTCTTCTCTCAAATGATCTTCCAGTTTGTCTAGTGCTTTATAATCACCTTTCACACAGATCATATCCTACCTCTGGCTTTGTTCATTGAGATTATCACTACAATGACAAGTGCTTTTTCTCCATCAGGTGCCTGTTGTGGGTCAGATGCAAAGACGTATGTGGTGGGCGGCTGGGCGTGGGCATGGTGGCTTATATCAGACACTCAGAGGTACAACAAGTCAAACAAATGCAGATCACAGGATCACTGTTCTTTGTGCGCTGCAGTAAATGTAGTCAAAGTTCACTAAAACAACACACAGTCAATGTTTGTCCGTAATTGTAAGGCCTGACCTTTCACCGCACCTGGGGCCTCATGTATCAACGCTGCGTACGCACAAAAACTTTGCGTACGCCAGGTTTCACGCTCAGAATCGCTCACGTTTGGATTTACTAACAATGAACTGAACGTGGGAATGTGCGCAGGTTCACGGCAGCTTTCTGGCAGGCGTACGCACATTTTTTGTGCGTGTCTGTTTTATTTTCATTGGCGACTCCTAGAGGCAGTTGTGTTAAATTCCTCTCTACAAAGTGTCTGAGCCTTGCAATGGCAGCTGTATGAGACGGGTTCAGCAGGTATATAAGGTTTCCATACCATACATTTGACCAGCCAAACATTAAAGCACAATTTGCAGCAGTCGCCTGTTTTCCCAATGTAATCTGAGCGATCTACCGCACGCACATTGCTATAAAGGCACTATCTGAAGATGAATTTGCATGCGTGAATCAGAAACATTTCCATTCAATAAATGTGCAAATAAAATATGATGCTTATTGATATGAACTTATTGATGATTCCTACTTGTCTTTCTCGTGATAAATAGTGGGCAAAATCTGATATGTTGCGGGGGAAAAAACAAGAAAGAGTTCATCAGACGCTGGATTCGAGGCGAGTTCATGCTCGAACGAAACTAGTCATGATCACATGCGTCTTACAAGGTGCGCCACTGAAACTGGTAAGGGTTCTGCAACATTTTACAGATATAAACCACACTATTTCTATCTTTAATGCACTCAGTGCGATGTTCAGACCCAACTGTGTTAACCGCATCCGTTAAACTCTCCCACTCTATTTTTTTCTTTTGTTGTTAATTCCGGAGAACAAACTTGCAAATAACACCGCTTTTCTCCGGTCTACCTCCGAAAGCAGCACCTCCAATTAACATTCTGTTTAAAGTTTCTCTTTTTGCTTACTTTTGCCATTGCTTTTTCGTTGGGTTTTTCCATTAGCATAGTCATTAGCATATTCATACAGGGGAGGAGGCAGGGAGGGGTTTTGTGCTCGTGCATGTTGCGCTCAGTTTCACGTTCATTCAGATGTACAAAAGAATATGCGTGAGATTCGGCGTACGCAGTGTTTCATACATCTGAATTTTTTTCTGCGTACGCACATTTACAGCTTTGTGCGTACGCAATGTTTTAGTAAGATTTCCACGCAAGTCTTCGTACATGAGGCCCCTGGTCAGGTGGGTTTGTCAAACCAGTTTGTTTCTGCATGTCGTACGGAGATTTTTAAAAACTGCAAGATAATACTTTAACATGCCATTCAGATATTGATCTGTCCATCTTAAATTTCCATGATCAGCTGAATGAGTTGATTTATGAGCTGAACTCGGGCGTTGTTTGCTTGATGCTTTCCTGCTTCATCTCTCTAATTGCATACCATGTACTTCCTGTCAGATTGTCCTTTGCACGTTTGTCCCATTTTTGACATACTGCATTGCTAAAATGTTTTGAAAAATCAGGTTCGTCTTGTTACAAGCATTGTTTAGTTGTGTTAAAGGTTGTGTTTGACTTGTGGCATTTTCTTTTTCTCTGCAGAATTACACTAGAGATTATGACACTACAGCCAAAATGCGAAGATGTGGAGACAGCGGAGGGAGTCGCCATTACAGTCACGGGAGTTGCTCAAGTAAACATTCTCACATGAAGCGATTATCGCTCAATTAATTAGATTTAAAATTTTTTATTTGATTTATGTGTGAACACAAATGTTGGAGGGATCTGTTTCTAAGTTTCTGGATCTCTAGGAACAGCATTAAAGGAATAATTCACCCAAAATGTAAAATATACTCACCATTTTTTCATATTCAAGTGCTTTCAAACTGTTATGACTTTCTTTTTTCTGGTGAACATAAGAGGCCCCATCATACACCCAGCGCAATAAGGTTCAAGACGTGTTTGGCATGATATGTTGCTATTTCCAGTTGAGGGTATCAAGAATGCACAAAAGTAAGAGAGCACAAAAAACTAATTTTAATAGTAAAATGTATAAATTTTTATTAACTGTAACATATTTACCATATAATACATATGTAAAAATATTTACTCATTTAAACAAATAAGCTTGCAAGTATTGCTAAGTACTACTTAATTATGTATTATGCATAGCAGAACATTACTTTGAGCTTGCTTTTTTTCTCTGCTTTTCTTTTCTTCTTTTATTTCAGCACCAGAAAGATGCCGTTTTGGATAGCATTTAATTTTAAATTAAAATTCAATTAAGATCGATTACAAATAGCAATGACATTTGTGATGTTATATTACTTAAGACACACTCATCGGTGTGCCGGTCTAAAAAGGAGGTGTGTTAAGGCACATTGTTGGCGTGTTGCTATTTTAAAGAGCTGAAATAGACTGCGCCATTGACTGACTTAAATCTGGTCTAAAGTCCAGGGCTAAGCACATTAGTTAAGTGCCTTTGCAGGTTCTAAACACTTACACATTGCTTAAGACACAAGTTGTAAAATGTTACAAAAATTATTATTTTCTGCATAGATATAAAAACACTACCTCTATGCCTTCTTAAAGGTTCAAGAAACCCTCGAGTACTTTTTCTGAGATTTTAACAGATTTGTGTTGAGCATCAGTTAAGACAATGTTAGCACCTGTCAGCTTTAAATGTGGGGAAACTGGCTAATTTTGAGCTTTTGTCAGCTAATTTCAGCTTCCGGGTTTAAAATGATTTAAAATGTAGCGCAAAACTGCATGTGTAAAGATGACGTGTTGGTTTCTCATTATTATATATAGCGGAGTTTTCTTATCCTATGAGAAGAACCTGGTTCTTCATTATTCATGACTGCGCGTGCTTTCTGAAGGCAAGACAGACCCGTAGTGCCAAGCTGTTTGACCCTATGTTGAGGACTGGGTGAGATTGCATTCAATCTCAATCCATGTTTTTCCTCTTGATCCCGTCAGGGCCAATACAGCAAAGCTGTTTGTGTGAAGCAAGCATTTTTGTTGGGAGAGCAGTACGAGGATGGCAGAGAATAGCAGACTTTGTCCTTTATCAGTGGAGTTCGTTCACATTTAGACACAACGCCGTGCTGCTTTGTTAGCCTAAATCCTCCAGGTGACCAACAGGGCTAATGGTTAAAATAGGCAGGGCAAGAGACCTGCTGCACTGAGTCTGCATTCAGACCCAGGGATGGAGGGAGAAGTCCTCATTTATAGTGTGTATCTAAACACGATTATATTTGTATTAATATAAATAGTGGTTACGTGCATATGAAATAAAAAATAAAAAATGTAGCAGGGCATTAAATTACTGTTTATTTCTTTGCATTTCACTTTGTAAACTATAAAATCATGCGTCTCTTCACGGTTTGTGTACAACACTGTTTCCTTATCCACAAAAAAAAATAAAATGAGTGAGGTAGAGTAAAAGTAAAGTAAAGAGAAAATAAAGAGGCCAAACGGAGGAGGCTTATTCTTTATCCTCACACAGATGGTCAGTTTTACATGAAGTCCATCATGTAAATAAAGAATGCGCCATTGCGTGACATGACATACTCTTAAATGGAATGAGAGCATATTTTTTGTTCTTTAAATAGCAAAAGTGGATTCAGATACACCCTTAATGCTTTTGCGCCATGCGCTTTACACTAAAATGACTTCCATCAGTTTATAAAAATATTTTTTTTGTGTTCCACTTTCTTGTAATTATGTTAATTTTATCCTTCAATTAAAAAGTTGAGTTTTACTTTTCTCAATCAATTCAGCCGATCTCCAGGTCTGGCGGAAACACATTTAGCTTAGCTTAGCATAGATTTTTGAATCAGTTTAGACCATTAACATCTCACTTCAAAAAAATTAAGTGTTTTGATAATTTTTCTATTTCAATCTTGACTTTTCTGTAGTTACATTGTGTACTAAGACTGACAATTTTTCTTTCTCAATTTTTCTCTGACAAAATTTTCTAGGCCGATATCTTTAGGAACTATATTTTCACTCTGGGAACAGCAGGTGCAATGATATTATGCAGCATTGTTAGCTAGTTTTCTAGCTGAGAACTATTTTTAGGCACTATGTAATATCATTTTACCTGCTCTAGCTACGGTATATATATATATATATATATATATATATGTATATGTATATATATATATATATATATTTTTTTTTTTTTTTTTATAAAGGATCATGTGGTCAAATTTGTTAAAACATCCACAAGTTTACTGACTACTGTCTGAACACGTGGTCATTATGGAACGTGCTTTGAGAGAGCACACAAAAACAAAATATTCATACTTTGGTGTGTTGAAACAAAACACACAGATTATTATCAAAATTGTTGTTGTCATCTGCATTCTTTTCATTCTATTGCTTCTAATCTTATTCATAAAACTGCACAGCATGGGTTCATTCATTGCGCACTCGTGCACGTGTGTTAAGTGAGCAATTTAGAGATTGGATGAAGTAAGATGGAGGAGAGTCAAGAAAAATCAAAACATGAGTTACAAGAGACAAACTTGAAAACATGTTAATTTTAGGTGGGAATCGCAGTCACTTGCGATCTGGTTATATTATGATAAGATGAGTTCGTCAAATACAGTATAGGTTATATAGAATGTAGTGTGATATTAAGCATATATTAATGGTTGAATCAATTTTACAGCTTGATAGATTGTCTTTCTCTTACTTAAAAGCATAAAATCTAAAAAAAAAATTTATAATAAGATTTATTAATATTAATATTTTTAAGTCCTTCATTAATCTTCAGGACACAAATTAAGATATTGTAGATGAAATCTGAGAGCTCCCTCATCCTCCATAGACAGCAACACTCCCAACTTATTCAAAGTTCAGAAATTAAAAACAAAATTACATGTTATGGGTAAACTGAACCATTAATGAGCGATGGAAACAACTTATCCAAAACAACTAATTCAGTAATAAACACAGGAAGTGTAAACAAAGGAGCTTCATCAATGTATCATTAAACAATGCACACCCCCTATTTCAAGTTATTTTTGAAGAGTTCAAAATGTGGATAACTGGTGCATTCTGTTTTCCAGGTCAAGGTTATGACTGACAAAGACTTGCTGGCTATTGCTTGTGAGCAGTTTCTGGGAAAGTCTGTCATGGAAATCAAAGCTGTGGTTCTGCAAACCCTTGAGGGACATTTGCGTTCAATCTTAGGTTAATACATCACCAAGAATTACAATAACCTTATTAAAACTAACACTTCCTTCTATGATTTTTAATGTTGTGTTGCTGTTCAACAACAGGCACATTAACCGTGGAGCAGATCTACCAGGACAGAGATCAGTTTGCTCGGCTGGTGAGAGAGGTGGCAGCTCCTGACGTGGGCCGCATGGGCATCGAGATCCTCAGCTTCACTATCAAAGTAAGTTATGAGGGTTTTGAATGCAAAATCACTCAAGATGCAGAATAGATGTGCATTAGCCGTCATGCATTTTGCAATAAACAAATAAAAGCACATTTTGAGAACAAACAAAACCCATCCAGAGATATTGTTTGTTTTTATAAATGTAATTATATGTTCATTCTAACTGCCTTCTAACTGGCTTCATCATGCAGTTGATTCCTTTAGACCAAGGGTATCCAATTTCTGTCCTAGAGGGTCGGTGTTCTGTTGAGTTTAGCTCCAACTTGCTTCAACGCACTTGCCAGGAAGTTTCCAGTATATCTAGTGAGAATTAGTTGGTCCAGGTGTGTTTGATTAGGGTTGGAGCTAAACTCTCCAGGACACTGGGTTGTGGCTAGATAAGATATGGTTGCAGCGGGAAGTTAACGAGACTCATTTATATTATTTTAGATTAAATTTCCCATTTATTGTATTTTATTAACGTCTATCCCCACCCCAACCCTAAACCCGATCGTCACAGTAATGTAAAAACAATACTCGTACCAAGTATTATTTATGTTACCTAATAAATTACCTAGTAAATTGTATTTTTTTGTCTACCACTACCCTAACCCTACCAGATCATCACAGTACTGTAAATTTATTAACCATTGTTATGACAATGTCATAATAAATGCTGCTATATTGATGTGCATATCGTACTTCCAGCCATCCGTGTATCTGATCTAGACTTTACCAAGACATTGGCCGTCCAGGACACAGTTTGGACACCCTTGGTCTAAAGGCATCAACTTCATGATGAAGCCAGTTAGAAGGCAGTTAGAATGAACATATAATTAAATTATGAAAGCAAACAATATCTCTGTATGGGGTTTTTGTTTGTTATGTTTGAGAAATGACAGTTATGTGATATTACACAAACAAGAGGTAATATTGATTTGGTTCAATTTCAAACACAATATTGACTGTTTTTTTTTTCAGTTTTGCCAATAAAATAGTTCTAAACTTAGAACAAAAGATTATTTTTGTATGTATTTTAACAAATTTATTGATTCAAATATCTATTTATAATGATAGTTTCATTCTTTCAAAATGAATCAGCCTTTTTGAATGGATCATTTGTAGTGTCGTATTTGCTTATCCACAACCAGTTCAAAAACACAACTAGCTATCGTTAGCGTAAAAAAAATCTGAATAATATAAAGATAGGATTCTTAATAGGATTCAAAAACACCTTTCGTGTTTCAATACTTTCATATTGTTTAGTTTAGTAATCACATTTAGTATTTTATTATTGTAGTATTTAAAGCAGCATTTTAAAATTTCAGTTTAAGATATAGTAATAATTTTAAACATAATAAGTGTAATATTTTAGGTTTTTTTTTCTATTTAGTATTTTTCTAGTAGTATTTCTATTTTTTATATTCAGTAATTATATCATTAACTTACTTCATTTTTATACATAGGTGCCAAATCAACAATATAAATACATTGGTGTTTTTTTATTTAAGTTTAGGCATTTTAATTTTTTCATATTTGTTTATTTTTATTATTAGAAATCTGACATTGTTTATTGTGTTTATTGTATGAAGTTATTCAAAGTTTCTAAATAATAATTGTATGAATCAAAAGGTATTACTCTCTTAATGAACTGATTTTAAGACATTAAACATTCTTTACAATTATCAATTACACATTACTATACTGTATTATATTATATTATATTATATTATATTAGATTAGATTATATTACCCTCGGCTGTGTCAGTTGCCATTTCTGTGTAGGTTTTCTCAGAGTGCTCAGGTTTCCCCCACAGTCCAAAGTCATTTGGTATAGGTATATTGGATAGGCTAAATTGTCCATAGTGTATGAGTGTGAATGAGTGTGTATGTGGATGTTTTCCATTGATGAATTGTGGCTGGAAGGGCATCCGCTGCATAAAACATATGCTGCTGGATAAGTTGCCGGTTTATTCCTCTGTGGCAACCCTGGAATAATAAAAGGACTAAGCCAAAAAGATTGAATGAATATTATATAATATAATATAATATAATATAATATAATATAATATAATATAATATAATATAATATAATATAATATAATATAATATAATATAATATAATATTATATTATATTATATTATGTTGTTATGTTATATTACATTATGTGTATCCTGTTGTTTAAAGGTCTTAAAGTCCTTCAGAGTTTCCACAAAAATATTGAGCAATATTTCAGCATTGATGGATATTTTGAATTATAGTTAATAAAATATTCTTCATCTAATAATGTATCTATAAATCAACCATAAAGTATCATTTCCTAACACATTTACCTCCTATCAGGTTATTTACTTTACTATACTCTGACACTTGTCTCTCCAAACAGGATGTTTACGATAAGCTGGACTACTTGAGTTCTCTTGGAAAGACGCAGACAGCTGCTGTACAAAGAGACGCAGACATCGGAGTGGCCGAGGCAGAGAGGGATGCTGGGATTAGAGTAAGAGGCTTCTGTCTTAGTTTTCTTTACGGCTAATGCATTATCCATTAGATACACGGTCTTCAAAGCTGCTGTTTTCTCCCATCAGGAAGCTGAATGCAAGAAAGAAATGATGGATGTGAAGTTCTTGGCCGACACTAAAATGGCCGACTCCAAACGAGAGCTTGAGCTGCAAAAAGCCGCTTTTAACCAAGAAGTAAACACTAAGGTCAGATTCAATGTAATTCCAGTGCCTGGCCATCTTTTTTAGTCATGGTCATTGGGTTAGTGATGTTTGCGTTTGTCCACCTCGCAGAAAGCCGAGTCTCAACTGGCCTATGAGCTGCAAGCCGCTAAAGAGCAGCAGAAGATCCGATTGGAGGAGATCGAAATCGAGGTTGTGCAGAGGAAAAAACAAATCTCCATAGAGGAGAGGGAGATTGAGAGGACAGAGAAGGAGCTCATCGCTACGGTCAAGCGGCCGGCTGAAGCCGAGGCTTACAAGATGGAGCAGCTCGCTGAAGGATACAAGTGAGTCCTGTATCTTATCAACTCTTTATAAAGCTCACATCTGTCTATCCATATTTTTTAGAGATCTTTTTATCATTTTTGTACCACATAGTGTTAAATTTAGAGGTGCCATAAAATGAAAGTCTACATGTATCTAGGGATAGCTGAATAATAAGAGAATAATAAGAACATAGTAATGACACTGTGAACATCAAGCATGGTTCCTCAGTCTCATTTAAATCCCGTGAGTGTAAATCTTTGTGAAAAACAGACCAATTGCAACAAAACAAAGATTGTGACAATCCACATGGGATCATTAATATGCATGCCCCAGGTCCAAGCATTTGATTGGTCACAACATTTTCTCATGAGATTACAACAGTGATAAATCTTTTCAATATTTTAAGGTCTATCTAAGCTTGTATTATACTTTCACTGTATGTGAGACTTTTATTTTGAAAATGGGGACAGGCTTTAAGACTAAGTTATACTTTTGCACCATGTGCACGCGCAGCCTTCGTGCGGTCACAGACCCCTCGCGGTGGCTAACTCCGACACTGACGGCGACGCTGACAATGCGTAGCGCAAGCTATGTGATTGGTCGGTTTAGTAGCGGTGACAAGCATGGACGGCGCAGAGAGCAGCGAGCCTGTTGGCTTTTGTTTTATGTTTACAATATGATTAAAGTTGTTGCACGTCTGCCAGTTCACACCTCTGAATGAGCTAATTTTAGCTTCTTGTACATTAAGGTAGCATTCAGTAAAACAAAACCCCTGCAAAGAATCTCGACACAAAGCAATATAAAAACCTACTGCCAGCTAGCGTTTCAGAAGTGTTGTTGCAGAGCAACACAAACAGCACACAGAAGTATAAATGCACAACAACGCACAAGGCATGCGCCGTGGGTCACGCCGATCACTCGACGCAGGAGTATAAACCAGGCTTAAGGCAGGCGCTGTGGGTCATGCCGATCACACGACGCAATAGTATAAATCAGCCTTTAGCAGTAGTTCTGTGAAGAACGCAACCATTCATGGTCTCATCTGTTTACATCCTGTAAGAAATTGCTGAACTGCAAAATGCTGGATATACAGATTCGGTAGTGTTCGATATATGGATTGTAGTGTTAGGCTTTTGTTAGTTTAACACAGAGATGCTCAAAGTAGAGCCCGCGGGCTAAAGTTGGCACATTGTAACCTTTGATTTGGACCACCATCCCATCTGAGAAGAGAGTGAGAATGATGGAGAGGGTTGGGGTGAATGCCTTTAAAAGAGATTGTCATTTCTAATTTGACAGAACTTTTTTTTGTTCGTGTTATTGCTGAGCTACAAAAAACATGTTTTAGTTAAATGTTATGTATGACTCTGATTTTTAAAAATGTAAATAATGTCTTGACGAATAGAGTATGCAGAAGACATCGGTGAGCAATTCAAGGCAAAAACTAGTGTCACTCTATTCTGTTATAAATGAGATTGTTTTTGTTTTTGCTGTAATATGTTCATTATATAATGTAAAAAATGATGTGGTATTAGTTAATATATTAGACGACTATATTTACTTTCGGTCCACTAGCCTCAATCAAGTTTAGTTTTTGGCCCTTAATAAGAAAAAGTTTGGGCACCCCTGCTTTAACACATACATTGTGAAATTTGCTGTGAATTTTTTGTAATAAGGCAACAAACACATACTGCACACAGACTGCTGAGTATAAGTGTTTGTCATCATTTTCTTTTCGGCTTAGTCTCTTTATTAATCCTGGGTCGCCACAGCGAAATGAACCGCCAATTCATACAGCACATGTTTTTACACAGCGGATGCCCTTTCAGCTGCAACCCATTTCTGGGAAACATCCATACACACTCATTCACACTCATACACTACGGACAATTTAGCCTACCCAATTCACCTGTACCACATGTCTTTGGACTGTCGGGGAAACTGGAGCACCCGGAGGAAACATGAACGTAGGGAGAAAATGCAAACTCCACACAGAAACGGCAACTGACCCAGTCGAGGCTCGAATCAGCGACCTTCTTGCTATGAGGCAACAGCACTACCTAATGCACCACTGCGTTGGCCTATAAGTGTTTATTGCATGTTAATTAATATATTGCATTAATGCAGTCTATAGCACCTTTAAATGATTTGTTAATCGGTGTGAATAAATTAAAATAACAATAAATATGCATTTTATTTAAAATAATTGAAATAAAAATTGAAATTATTTAAATGACAATTAATCCGCACAAAATTCAAAATTATGACAAGCCTTATTGAAATCCATTTTAACAACTCACAGGATCAGGATTTTTACATCTGAAATAAGAAAATCATTCACACTGGATCTCAATATTAAACTTGATATTGACAAAGTGACAAAAAACCTAACAAACAAATAGGAAGCATCACTGAATGTATAATGTCATGTTTTATTGTTTGACTTCAGGGTGAAAAATTGCCTCAGCATAATGTGTGGCATTTAAAGGCTCGTGAATCATCCCTAATCTCTTCATGCCCACTAAGCTACACCGCTCCATATCTGTTTATACCTTCAGCTGTTTGAATAATGTTTCACAGATGTGCCACAGGATGTCTGATTAATCACGTATGATCATGTCGAATAAATTGGGCTTTATTTGTGCCGCTGACAGGATGCAGAAAGTGCTGACGGCTCAGGCGGAGGCAGAGAAGATCCGCAAGATCGGAGAAGCGGAGGCCATCTCCATCTCATCTGTGGGAAAAGCAGAGGCCGAGAGAATGAGGCTGAAGGCTGAGGCTTATCAGCAGTATGGGGAGGCCGCCAAAACTGCTCTCGTCTTGGATGCTCTACCTAAGGTCAGTCAACTGCTTTTACTCTATATGTTTATTATAATACACTGATGGAGGTATTAGAGGCTACTACAGCTATAGCTTGGTTTGCTATTTAGGTTTTGTAATTGGTGTTGATATTTATATGCGTACAAGTAACATTATTAGTTTGTCTACACAGTAGTTTTATACATAATTATTATTTTTTTATGTTTAGTAATTATACCTTAGCATCAGCTTATTTTATTTTACATTCATTCCAAATAAGCAATATCAATGATTTTTTATTATTTTTAAGTGTAGGCTTTTATATTTTTCCTAATTTCATATACAGTGGTCCCTCGTTTGTTTTGCAGGGGTTGCTTTCCAAAAATAGCCCACGATAGGTGAAATCCGCAAAGTAGACAGCTTTATTTTTTACAATAATTATAAATGTTTTAAGGCTGTGAAACTCCTCATTACACACTTTATACATTTTTCTCAGACAGGCATTAACATTTTCACATCCTTCTCTCTTGTTTGAACACTTAAAGCACTTTGATCAAAGATTTATGTTAATTTGGCAAACTGAACGCATTCTGTACTGTACGAGACACAGAGGAGATTGATTGACAATGGTTTACGGTCAATCAGGACGCAGAATACAATGTGGTTTAAAAAATAAACAAAATAAATAATTCTGTTGAACTGTGAAACTGTGAATTCTCAGAAATCTAACAGTAAAATGAATTATGTTGCAAAGTTTTAATTCTTTTTTTAAATTTTAATGTATTTGTTAGAAATAATAAACTTCTAATGAAATGTATTTTGTGATTTAAAAATTTTTAAATCTAAAAATATTATATTATATTATATTATATTATATTATATTATATTATATTATATTATATTATATTATATTATATTATATTATATTATATTATATTATATTAAATAGGCTCTTTGTATTATTAAAAATTAATCTCAGTTCCCACAAAAATATTAAGCAGCTTAATTGTTTTCAACAATGATAGATATTGTGAAATAAATTAAGTTCAATATTTATTTATCTAATAATATGTGTTCATTAATTATGATATCATTTCATAAAACATTTATGTCTATTAATGTCTACTAAGGAGCTCATTTTTAGATTTTTTAACTTCTGTTGATATTTCAATACGTAATAATACTAGAATGGTTTTAAACACTATCAATTCTCCATGAAAGGGCTTACCTGAAGGATGCTAAGCCCTGTTGTCATCTATATATTTGTTCTGTTGTATTGATTTATGGTATTGGTTGTAATTTGTTTATTTGTTTATTACTTACTGTTCACGTTTGATTGATGTCATTTTGAACACAGCCTCATGGCAAAAGCTATAGGTGACCTATTATTTAAAAGCGGAATTTGTTACCAAAAATGTCTCCAAAGCTTGTGAAAATAAAAAGCATATGTTAATTCTTTTAATTTATATTGGGTTATTTGACATGACATGGCATATCCTGCTGGTTAGAACATTTCTGCTGTGGTTTACATGTGTCAAATTGTAAAAATAGACTTTTCAAAAAAATAAAAAATAAATAAACAATATCCTACTTAATAATAATAATAATAATAATCATCATTATCATAGGCGAGGCAGTGGCACAGTAGGTAGTACTGTCGCCTCACAGCAAGAAGGTCGCTGGTTCGAGCCTCGGCTCAGTTGGCGTTTCTGTGTGGAGTTTGCATGTTCTCCCTGCCTTCGCGTGGGTTTCCTCCGGGTGCTCCGGTTTCCCCCACAGTCCAAAGACATGCGGTACAGGTGAATTGGTTAGGCTAAATTGTCCGTAGTGAATGTGTGTGTATGTTTCCCAGAGATGGGTTGCGGCTGGAAGGGCATCCGCTGCGTAAAAACTTACTGGATAAGTTGGCGGTTCTTTCCTCTGTGGTGACCCCGGATTAATAAAGGGACTAAGCCGACAAGAAAATGAATGAATCATCATCATAATCATCATTAATATGATAAATATTATTATTAAAGTTAGATTTTTCCTTTTTAAAAAATAATAAATATTACATTTCATAATGTAAAATAAATAGCCTCATTATTTAGTTAAATGTTTTATATGATATTAGTTTTAGCTTTTGTAAGTGCTATTTTTTATAATAGAACATGTAATGAACAACTTCTCAATAATATTAGGCCCAATATGTGTCATTTACATAAATTTCAGTTAATATGGAAAGCGAGTGCATGTTTTTACCAAATCTAATATTGGATTTTATTTTAAATGCGTGTGCGTGTAAAACAGTATAATTTGCACAAAGAAATTATGGGTTTTTCTCTAATGAAGTAGTTACTTCACCCAGTTTCGAAAATCATTAAGGGCAATTTACGTTATAACTAACTTGGTTCAAGCAATGGATCTGTGACAGAGAAACGACAGGTTTTGGGAAACACTCGTCACTGCATTGTTCTTTCCCAAACGATGCATCATACTATGATAGTTCAGCCACGAGTTACATCGTTGTGTTTGAAACCCACCCCAGATGGGTAGTAAAAAATCCTTAAAGTAATATTTCACCCAAAATTCTAATTTACTCCCCCTCGAGTGGTTTCAGACATGTTTGACTAAAAGACAAAAGAAAATATTTTAAAGAAAGCTGGAAACTAATTACCATTGACTTCCATAGCAGAAAAAACCAACGACAATAGTTACAGATTTCAGCTTTCTTCAAAATATCTTCTTTTGTGTTCAACAAAAAAAGAGAAAAATATTTCAAGATATAACATCAAAGTTTAGTAGTAGCACTATTTCTGACTTTTGTACTGTGTAACCGCACAGATTGCTGGGAAGGTGTCTGCTCCTCTGGCCAGGACCAATGAGATTGTCATTCTGAGTGGTGATGGCAGCCGTGTGACCGGGGAAGTGAACCGGCTCCTCGCTGAGCTGCCCGTCTCTGTTAATGCCCTCACCGGTGTGGATTTGTCCAAGGTGAGACTTCAGTACATTCAACACAAACACAACACATGACCTGGTTGGAAATCAGGCCCCGGGTCTGTTCTTCAGGCGAGGATTACTCGGTTAGCTGGATTTGGTTATTGACGATTTGACACAATCCAGGATCGTTTCGTTCTTTAAAACCCATCCCAGAGTTGTTGTCATAGCAACATGTTTGGTAGCTCAAACATGCTCGGGTTAGGAGCAGGCTTATTTCATATAAAGAGGATTAGATCGGGTCATTTCCAGCAAAGGAGATACTGAAATGCTGATATTTTCTTACAGAAGTAACTCGGGCCAAACAGAATCTGCAGAAATATTTAGCTGTTTCTGCAGAGAATTTTGTTAAATATCTGCGGATTTATGCGGAATGATTTTGGCAGTATCATAACTAAAAAATTAATATATGAAGTAAAAAATAATACCATTTTAAACTTTAATTTTATGTAAACAATGCAAATCAAATTAGATCCACTTTATTTGGTAAACAAAGCAAGTCTCATATATATCTACTAAAAGACAATATGAAAATATGACTTTACAAACTGTATTGTAAATAAATCATATGAACATTTTCATGTTAGTCAATATATAAAATAAAATTAGTTTAAAAACAGAATAAATATAAATGCACACCCATTTATTCAAGTAAATAAACAGATTCAATAATAGGATAAAAATCTGTGGAAATCTTGCTGAATTCCGCGGTCGTAGATTCCGAGCCCTATCATACACCCGGCGCAATGTGGCGCAAGGTGCGATGCAATTGTTGTTTGCTTGTTTCAGCTTGGCGCAAGAGTCGTTTTGACATTTTTTTACGTCATGTAAATCGCAAAAGCACCATGGTGCGACGCAACTGACTCTTAAAGGGAATGGGAGATGAGACTCTGATTGGTTTATTCTCCAAACACACTGATAACTCATTAAGAAAATAAGCTCAACCCTTTTAGACCATGTGCCACGGCGCAAAGCAGATTTTTCCGTCCTTATGTTAGCAAAAGGGGATTCTGACATACCCTAAATGCGTGTGCGCCCTGCGCTTTGCACTTTGCGCATGGACCGTCAAAATAGAGCCCTTTATGTGGGCCAAATAGTAACCTATAGATTACATAAAATGAATAAAATTAAAAAATAGTAAAAAATTATACATATTTTTATATAAATAGAGCCATGCAGTCTGCACTTCGAAATAAAAGTACAAAAACTGTCATGTCGATGTTTTCTTCCCTTAAGGGGGTTTGAAGAGAACATTAATAAATATGGACTTTTCAGATACAAATGTTTGTTCGACATTATGTAATATAAGAAAAAATACTGGAGTGCATAAAAAGTTTTGCTGTATTAGTCTGCTAAAGTTGGCCACATTAAAATAATAGATGAAAGATGAAAATATACTACAGTAATATAAAGTAAATACTACAGTTTTTTAACCATACTGACACATCCATTAGAGAGTGGATGAAATGACAGAGACTGTGCAATCAGCTACAATGTTGCTAATATTGTTTTTTTAAGTATGGGCAATATATATCACATCACAAATTATTCAGGGCATGTCCATGTGTTGTAAGATTAGTCAATATATTGATTATTGTGACAGGCTTAGTGATTGTTGATAATGTAAAAAGAAATGAATAACAACTATTTCTACCTTTACAGATGCCTCTGCTGCAGAAGTTGACCGGTGCTCAAGCATGAAGTGGATCAGCTCCGTCTTCTCCATGATATGTTGTATGCACTCACACAAACTGCCTTTAGACGACTTGGGAAATCTTTTTTTTTTCTTTTATTCTTTTCTTTTTATGGAATAAAAACAAAACAAAAAAAAACAAAACAAATAACATACAAGTAGATTTTTGATACCTCTGGTGCCTTAATGTTTCCTAGGACCAGAATATCTGCATGCTCTGCTGCTCCCACAGTTCCCCACTTCAATATATTATTATCACATCCGCACTGGAAGCATTAGTACAATCAGTATTGTTTTTTGTTTTGTTTTGTTATAGTTTTGACTTTGTAGTGTCTGACCTATCACACAGACTTTTATATTTGACATTTTATACACTTTATTTTCAGCTACGTCGACACTTTATCTCCTAAAGGTGAGTCAGCTTTAGATTCCAGTCCAATTCTTGGATCCCTCCAAAGTCTACTGCTACTTTTAAGTCATTTTAGGTCACTTTTTTAACAACAAATACAATTCCTGCCAGAGTTTCATTCAGGAAAACTGCCATTGATGCAGTCTAGCGAGTAGCGTCTAGTGTACTGAGCTCTTACGGGTAAATATTACAGTAAATATTGTCATTTTAGGTAGAATTGAGAGTCATTTTTAATGTTGCAGATATGTAAAAACAGACATGGCCTTTATGAAGCAAACCATCTCCTAAATGTTCATGAGCTCATCAATAGTTCAGACTATTATTGCCTGTAAATTTTGTATGATTTTTGATTATACTCGTACTTTGGTTTGTTTTAGATTGGTATGGGACACAAATAGTTGTAAAGACAATTTAGTTGATCATTTATTTTTAGCAAACTAATACAATGATCCAATGCTGTTAAAATGGAGTTTTTAATATATATATTAACACTATGGACAATAACTTTCATTCTGTTGTTGTTTGTTTAGTTTGTGTATTTGTCACTGTGAAAGATAAATTACCTCGTTTTGCTCAGTTAGTTCAGGTTTTAAGGTTTGTCTTTTATTTTATTATTATGTTTTGCTTTTTTTTGTGCTGTAAAGGGGCAAAGTCACTTTTCCACGTGTTTTGTAATGAAGACACCAAAAGCCAAGAGATCATTCCATCTTTTTGTGCATACCGTCCATTATTATTATTATTATTATAATTATTATTAAACATCAGATGTTTATAAAGCTGTTTATGTATTCTGTTTTAGCATGAATAATACCCCCTTATTCTTTTATATATTATAGAAACCGATTGAAACTAATAGGAAATGTTTTATTGTGTAAAACACAATATTATTTTTATTTAGGTTTACGACTTTGATTCAAGTTCGACTTATTCAGAACTAATAAAGCCATGTCAGGTTTAGCCATTTAGCATTAGAGCATCATAGACTGTTTATGTGCTTTGTATGGCATTGGTGATGAACTGTACTGTACTGTACTGCTGTGTATTGGAACAAAAAAAAAAAAACATTATAGGAATTCTTGAACTGTATGGCAGGATGAAGGCCAGATGTGCTTTTGCTTTAATGGGTCAAACGATACACTAACTGCAAATATGCCATTGACTACGTGGGGAGAATTTGGTAGTTTTATACATGACTCTTTACACAGGTTTAACTCAGCATGTTTATGGTGCATGTAGCTATTTCCAGATGTAATAAATGTAATGTGAACCAGATTCTGTCCGTGTCAATTTTTCCCTCATGACTCGTTTAAAAGTGCTGGAGGTTTATGAAACGTCACGTTGTATTCGGTAAGTAATTCCGGTGTTTGTGAAACGGCATCTTTTGTTATGGAACAACGACACCGTGTGGTTCAAATATGCAATGCAGAGTTATATCTATAAAGGACATGGGTAGTTGACGAACAGGCTGTTAAAGTGCTTCTATTATTGAAGAATAAAATGGTTCCCTGCTAGAAAAACAGCTTATCAGCCTAGGCTAGATTTAGTTGGTCGATCGTCCTGGTTTTAGAGCGGTTTTAATCATTCCCAGGCTGGTTTCAGTAATTTCCAGTCAGATCTTAGCTGGTCAGGCTGAAAATTTACCAGCTAAAAACAGCTTGACCAGCCTGGTTTAAGCTGGACGTTGCTGGTTTTAGCTAGGCTGGTCAAGCTGGTCATCTCCCAGCCTGACCAGCTAAGACCAAGCTGGAAATGACTGAAACCAGCCTGCAAATGGCCTAAACCCCTCTAAAACCATGCTGGCCGACCAGCTGAAACCAACCCACCAGCTTAGGCTTTCAGCAGGGTAGTTTGATTAAACTGAAGAAACACAACTTATAATAGCATGAGAGCGATTTACCCTTTGATTGTTTTTGGTCTATCGCTTGTTGAACACTTAGCCTATCCTCATGCTGTTCAAGTTTTTTTCTCCAAAATGTGTTGGACATTTTCAATAAATGGGTTAGCAAAAACCTACGGATTATAAATGTAACTTTTATTGTGGCTACAAAAAATCTGTGACAAAAACCTAACAGCTGCAGGTACTGGGCTTCACATGGGGCTTCAGTCACACGATCTTAATTGGGGTCCTTCAACTAAAAGTTTTCTGTTGATTTAATTATTTAAAATAGTGTCACACACATGGTTTTCTGTGACAAAATGTATCGAGTTTTACATGTTTTTAAAAGTTATGAATAAAAAAAGATTTCTCAAAATAGGCGGTTGTAATATTTCGCCTGAGATATTTTTCTTTTGAATTTATAATTATAATTTTTAAATTGTAAGCTGTAATTTTTTGAACTGTGATTGAGACCGCACCATACGGCAGATGTGGCTCAAAAATGTAAACAAAATTTAATAATACAGCAGTTTTTATAAGAAGAGGTCCATGGAAGACAAAGAAAAGTTTAAGAAGTTTACTGTATTTTAAGTAATCACAATGTTAATTATATGAATTTTTTTCATGTGTGAAAATGCAACGTGACGTCAGCAACCCATATAATGATGAAATAGTTAAAGTCTCATGACATCTAAAATCTAAAACGGAGTTTGTGTTTTGTAAAGCTGCTCATTTTAGCAAATATTTGTTGTTGAACAGGAAACTAGCAAACAGAATGCTACAATTTACAGCAAAATTTTTATATTTATATAACATTCTAACATATGTATACTGTATGGGGAAATAAATGTTAGTTTCGACTTGAACAGCAATCCAACAGTCAAAGTAGTAGAAACACACAAATTGTGTGGTTTATTGGCAACATTTTTATGTGAAAAAAATAACCTAAAAATGTTTCAAAATCAGTTTTTGAGTGTTTCACGGGTGATTTTAATACACTCCCTGTCAAAAGTCTTGTCGTCGATCCCAGTTCTAAAAACAGCAAATAATATCTTTACTTCTAGTGGATCATTTGGAAAAGTGGCAGAAGGTAGATTTTTAAAAGGGCCATGAAACCCGCTCGTTTCAGCAGGATGTTTTGTTTGGAGGAGCAAAAGAAGGATGGTGTGGGAGTGTCGATTTGAGCACGCGCTGAGTTTCAGAGTCAAAACACACACACACACACACAGAGGGGAGAAAGTGACTGTGTTTACGTGGACATCTGTAATCAAATACATATGCATTTGTCAAATTAATAAATGGTGGACTTAAACTGCAGTTTGGCTCTTTCATTCAGGAAATTCATTTGTGCCCCTCGCGACAAAAGAGACATTTGATTCGAGGAACTGCTCTAAGTGTGTATTTTTCATGCAATGTTTGATACCGCATGGTGAATGAGAGAAAAAAAACTCTGCATTTCTTTGTAACTTAGATGCACTCGGCAGGTAAGCCGCGTGTGTTATTCCGGTCACAAAATGCGGTGAAAATCCTACACGATGATAATAGTTTGGTTGTGGTGCTAACATGTTTACACTCGGTGCAATAGTTTGTTCAATACGAACAAACTGAATAAACAAAGACCACTGGTTGCTCACTTACAAAATCTGTAGAGACAGGACAATTCACAGCAACTAAAACCGCGTCTTTATTAAGAGGAGACGAGCAGCGAATCCGGATCTCCATTTGCAGAATAGAAAAGCTCTCGGGTAAACAATGTTCCTAGACGTAAGTTATTGTTGTCGTGCGTTGCGTCGCGTACACTGTAATTCACATGTGAGTCCAGCTGCACTCTCACAGAGAGAAAATGAAAACAAAACTTGACTGAAATAAATTATGAAAGCAACACTGCACGCTTGTTTTGCCAACAAAATGTGGCGTCTCTGCCGTCTAAACACTGTAACATTAATGAATATTAATGAAGTTGCACAATAGAGCGCGCTGATTGGTTTGAACCAAGCCTTACTCATGCATTAATGCAGCACACTCGGAGACGTTATGCGGTACACCCAGGTGCAGACGTCCAGCCTACATGCTGGAATATATGCTAAGATCTCATGACTGTGACGCAGCTTCAAAAATTCGTTTCAAACCGGAAGTCCGAATTTGCTCAAAATAACGCAAAAACTACCAATTTTATCTTTTTTTTATGAGATATATGTGTCCTAATACTGTTTTTAGCAGTGTGGGACACATATACGACTGTCAACAGCTCAAAAAATGTGTTTTGGTGTTTGGTGACCCTTTAACTGCATCTCAGTCATCACAAATACTGCTGAAGACCTATTGGAACCCAATTGGGGTTACATTCAGTATGGGGGTGTGCAATAGATCTGCATAGTGGATGGCAACTTTAACAACCTAAGGTATCAAAATAATTGTGCTGCTCATTACATTACAAACCAAAGGAGAGGGCAAATTCTTCAGCAGGTTAGCAAAGAAGATCAAGGTGCTCCAGGATTGGCCAGCCCAGTCACCAGACATGAACATTATTGAGCACGTCTGGGGTAAGTTGAAGGAGGAGGCATTGAAGATGAATCTAAAGAATCTCAATGAACTATGGGAGTCCTGGAAGAACGCTTTCTTTGCCATTCATGATGACTTTATTAATAAGTTATTTGTGTCATTGTAGAGATGTGTGGATGCAGTCCTCCAAGCTCATGGGAGTCATACACAATATTCATTATTTTTCCACTGCACCAAGACTTTATATTCTATACTGTACATTATTTCTGTTAAGTGACAAGACTTTTGTCTAAGCAAACTCAAACCTTACTACTCTGATTAAATAATTAAAAATCAAGGCATGATCATATTTAATTTTGTTAAAATAAGCGTAATACAGAGGCCTTTGTCTTTCACATAAGCCACTTCTGATACCAAATGATCAACTAGAAGTCGAGTTAGTATTTGCCGTTATTAAAACTTGGATAGGCAACAAGACTTTTGTCAGGCAGTGTATGTGAATTTTGTGAGACACACTTGCACACTTTAGTTTTTTAAACATATTGTTAAAATAGTACAGTGTCCATACATCTTTCTTGCTGCCATGACTTTTATATTTAAAGGGTCATGACACCCCCCACTTTCGGTAGGAGTGGGCGTGGCCAGCAGGGGAGAAGGAGGGGAGCTAACAACTGTTGTCAGTCAGCTCACAAAATGAGATACAAACTGTGAGGAGATGCATGATTTTATAGTTTACCAAGTTAAAATGTAATTAAATAAACAGTAATTTAATGCCCTGCTACATTTGTCGTTTGTAATTTCATATACAGATAACCACAATTTATATCATTATAAAGCTAATCGTGTTCATATGCCCTGCCTATTTCAACCATAAGCCCTGCTGGTAATCTGGAGGATTTAGGCGAATACAGCAGCACATTGATGTGTCTAAATGTGAACGAACTGATAAAAGACTAAGTCCTCCATTCTCTGCCATGCTCGTACTTCTCTCCGGACAAAAATGCTTACTGCAAACACGCAGCTTTGCTGTATCGACCCTAACAGGATTGTGTGAACAAACATGCAACAAACCCCGTGGATCATGGAAACAAACACATACTACTCTTCATGAATGGCTAAATACTGTGTGCCATAGGTCCGTTGACATGATCTCACAGCTTGGCACTGGCAGGTCTGTGTCTTGCCTTCAGAAAGCACGTGCAGTCATGAATAATTAAAAAGCCGGCTCTTCTCATTGGATAACAAAACTGAATAATAATGAGAAACCGACACGTCATCTTTGTACTTGCAGCTCTGTGGTAAGATTTTGATTCCGCCCCAAAAATCATTTCAAACCCGGAAGTAGAAATTAGCTGACAAAAGCTCAAAAATATCCAGCTTTTCCTCTAATTACAACTGACAGGTGCTAACATTGTCTTATCTGATGCTCAACACACTCAATGCTCAATATAAAAGCAAACATGTCTTTTTCAACACTCATTTATTGCATTCTGTAGCCAAAAAAGCAACAGCACAAACATATATTTAGTAGCATTTTTTTTCCAGCTCTAACCCCAAATTTAAAATTCAATGTTTGGTAGGTTCGAAGAAAAAACCTATTCTCCAACTCATGTTTTCAATGCAGACACGCTGTTTGATGATGTGTTTCTTGCATGTTCTAGCATATGTTTGAGTCATACCTGTGAGCTCAAACTCAGTGGCCTGCATAGAAATCCATCTTTCAATGTCGTAAGCATAACTTAGAAAGCACAGGCTCATTTCCATGCCCTCATCCATCACCATTACAGTCTAATGTCTTAAAATAATGGATTACTAAACAAATCTAAATGACCTTGCCTTCTAATCATATTATACCTAGTTCTTTGCGAAAATGCTGAAAATGTATTTGCTTG